TAATACGCGCAGATTTAAGAAGAACAATCAGTATTTGTTGACTAACGAAATATAAAGAAGATATATAGAGAAGATAAATAAAGAAGACAAATTACAGAAAAATGCGTTTGTCCTAGTTAAATGCAGAGGAAAGGAGGAACATTATCATTCAGATTTAAGCGCATTAATTCTCGTCAAACACGAGTCACGCTCCATTCTGAAGCAATATATTATCGGGCGATCTCTAATTGTGTTCCTAATTAATCGTCGCTCACGACATCAGTAAATTTAGAAAGATGCACACGAGACCCATTATTTCTCGATGTATAAATTATACACAAGTTACGATAAAAATATATATATACAAACGTCCAAGAGCATCGCGAGAGAGAAATCATTTTAATTGATATATCGCCGAATTTTACGAATGTAATAAATCTTGAATTTCGAAAGAGGTAGCCAATTTGCGGCTACCGGATATACGCCGAAGGAAAGAACGATCCTCTTTCAATTCCGCAAAAAAAGTATCGTGATAAGTCGGATAACGAGACGCGTTATAAAGCGTTTCCCGCGCGAGTTCTCTCTCTCTCGGTTTCTTCGGCTGCATTATGCGGATGCCTTGTAAATTTATGGAGCGTGCATACTTGCGCCGTACGAGCGCCGCGTTTACGCGATCGAAGCGTGTGCGTGCCGCTGCGGCCGCTCGCACCAAGGCCGCAACGTCGAACCGCCTCTTTTTCGGGCCCACGGCGAACCCGATTTTGTTCGGGACTCTCCCATTCCGGCGTCGTCCGTCGCCAGGCCGAAAAATTTGACTCATTGTAATGAGTTTCAGGAGCGGAGGAAGTTTGAGGGAAAATCCCCGGTCCGAGGATGGAACAAAAGGCTGTAATTATCAGGGGAACTTTTATCCAGGCGAACGGTCCCTTGTAGCTGCCATACGCTCCGACACTGCAAGGCCGACCGCGATGTTTCCTCATCGGCCAGCGACGCCAGCGATAATGATCCATGGATCCACAGCCTAGATCGCCATGTTCCAGACGCTCAGTCGCGTCACGGACACGATTGCGCGCGTGTGTCGCTGTTGAATGTCATCTACTCCACGCTGATCAAAACGCACGAGAGAGGGTACCTCTTTGGGCTTTTTTTTCGACGACGCTTCCCCTTTTAAGACCGGCGACGATTTTATGTAGCAGTCAAACGGTGTCGAACGGTGAGTCAACAAAGTGTCCGCTCGACGACTTTCTCGTAAGAATTGTTGTAGCGTGAGCGCGTCTTCGGGCCCTGTGTAAAAATGGTGAATATAATAATGTTATTGTTATTGTTGTACTGTTAAATATTGTTTTAGAAAAGAAGATAAAGGAAAAGATTAAGTAATGATATGATATCTCGCGACATACCCTCGACGTTTCGAGTGCGCCTACTTTTATTAATCATGATTTAATGTCGAAGTTGATAGTTTTCAAATTGAATGCGAGGTCATTAAACTAGAGAAATTTTCAGACAAATTCATAAATACGAGTAAATTACAACATATTCTTCGGTCAATATTAAATAAATTTTATACATTAATAGTGTTTAATTAATTAATTATTTAACACTGCTAATATAACATTAATTAGTTAAATCTAAATTCATACAATTTATTTAAATCTAATTTAATATAATCTAGTTAAATCTAAATTAGTTAAATCATGCATTAATTAGTTACATCTATTCTAATATAAATTTAATTAACTAATTAAGAATTTATTGTCCACAAATATTAATTACTAAAAATACATAAAATTACTATTTGAGGAATTGTATTAATGAAATTTAGCTCTAAATTTGCTAAAGAATATATCCCTGCGCGAGAAGTGCAAATTTCTGAAAAGTGTATCATTTCTAGATAACCGTTTATCGTGAATGAGGTAACATATATATGCTATAGATTAGAAATCGCATATTCGTTATAATTGTGTCAACGGTTTTATGCCATTGCCGTTTATTCTTGCGATAAGTTTCACTATTTTTAGCGACACTGATTTACAGATAAAACATTTCATCACGCAAAGAACCTTTTTGTAGGTAAGATAATTCATAATAATTTATTTAAAATTTTTCCTGAATAAAAGATTTTTTTCACATTTCTTATAATGTCGAAGGATATATGTTTTTTTACTTAAAGCAATTTATTATTTTTAACAATACTGGCAAACTCGTTTTCAAAAATAGAAAATAGCGAATTTTTCACCTAATATAAATAAAAATAATTAAAAAATCAATCATTTTAATGGAATATTGTTTAAAAAGAATTTCGCGGAAAACAATTCTTTTTTTAGTCTATTTTCTCGTAACCTTATCGTTGTAATTTTGATATTTACATAACGTCGGAATGCAAGGGCACTATAAATGCACTTTTACATTCCGCAATAAACGGCAGGCCGAGTGACATTTTTGCGTTGTTACTCAACGTACGTTTCTTATCATTGGTTATCGAGTCATTAATGAAACGGATTGTTACGAGGATTTGAATTTTATCGCTTAACTAGTTCCACGATCTTTCTTGCTTAATAGACAGCGATCGTTTAGCTCACCGTGTATTTTTGTCTAGGAAACGACTGTTTTGCGCAAGTATATACAACTCCTTTCGTTTAATTTAACGTCGTGCAAATCGTGTCTATGTTATTATATTTATGTTGTAATACTGTAACGTATTATTTTAAAATTACTTTCTAAGATACCGGACTCCGAGTTGTAGCGGATTTGATATTTTCCTTTATTACGTCGGTGAAATCGTATTAACGTCGAAGATATCGCGTGTCGGAATGAATAAGCTTTTACATGTATGACTGTGAGAAAAAAGTTTATTATTCATATTTATGAATACATAAGATGTTGTTTTCTTCTTTTATTTATGCATTACTTAATCGAACGATCGCGTACGTGTTCAAACGCGAAGATCAAGCTGGTCGGGCAAAGATGACGAGAGTGGAAGAGATATGTTCGAAGATGCGAGAAGTCGCGCTGCATTAAAGATGAATCACGCATCGTGGCATCCAAAGCCTCGTAATAATTACGAGGAATTACGTAAAAAGATACCGACAACGTCCATAGAACTTTACGCTTACCCGGCAGTGCTGGGTTGAATTTTTCCTGGACCTGACTGCAGCAATTTTCAAAGAGTTTCTCCTCTTCTCACGTAATGTTAATGTTAATAATAATGTTATTAAAATGTTCTAGATGTGAAATTTGGCAGGAGAAATGTGGGAGAAATTAAAAATAATATACTATCTTGTTAAGGCTTAAATGACTTACTGTTTGATCTTAATTTTTACGAATATTTATTTATTTTTTAATCCTTACGTTCTTTTTATTTTACTCCGAAAGACAATCTTATGCCGAACTGTTTTATTTATAGTTAATTAATTAAGTTAATTTATTCAGTTTTATATTTGCTTACCAACAAAATCTTTTTATTTTATTCAGGTGTCAAAGAAATCTCATCGCTTGCTTCTCAACATGAGCAACGAAGCTAACAAAGGACCGCCGAGCGCCATAACGCTCGGCTTCTCGATACTGACGCATTTTCTGCTCGTGGCTCCAATAATATATATCCTGGTAGTTGCCTTCCAGAACTACAGTTTCTTCTCTTGGCATCCGATTTGCATGTCTGTTGGGGTAAGTATAGAAAGAAAAAAGAAATATCGCTTGAATATCCCATCTAAAAAAATCAAAAATATCCAGTTTAATTTCTAATCAATTAGCGTGTTATAGATATTTTTTATTATCATAATCATAATTAATCAATTAAAATATAATGACTAAACAACGCGTCCTTAATCTTTTAATTGCAAAATTATATTGAGATTTACTAAAAATTTCAATATTTTTCCATCTCGCAAAGGTCGGTCTCCTAATCACAGAAGCTGTCTTCAGCGTCTCCGGTGAGGCGTACGTCGCTTGGAAACTACCCAGGCGTAACAGAGTAACGATACACTGGATTCTACACACGATTGGCCTGACCATAATTGGGATCGGTTTGATCATCATCATCGTTAACAAAGTCAACCACAATAGACCCCATTTCGCCACGACTCACTCGCAGCTGGGCCTAACGACGATCATACTGTCCGTCTTGACCGCCGCTTTCGGAGTCCTGGCGAACAACACTGTCTGGATATATCCGCGCGTAAGGCCGATATTCGTCAAAGTCGCTCACGCTTGCGGCGGCATCGGCATTACGATTCTTTTACTGGCTACCCTCATCAATGGAACCTACAACGATTGGTGGTACATTAGCGGTACCACCACCGGAAGAGACTTGACCTTCGCGTCATTGTTCTTCGCAGGTCTCTTGATACTCGTGAAACCGATACTCGGCGCCGTTTCGAGGTGCAGAGTAATATTCGGACCACCCTCAAGCGACACGTAATGCCTCGTCAACAGAGTCCGACAAAAGTCTGAAAGAAGGTTTATCACGTCGAGACGCGGACGACGTGCGAGAGTTGTAGTCCAGAAGTAAGATGCTTCTATTCGATCGATCGATGGAAAATAAAACTGCCTTTGCAATTATTATATTGATTAAATTTTGCTTGAAAAAAAAAAATAGCGGTCAAATATAATTTTGGCGAGTGACTTATTCTCGATGCAACTCTTGTAAAATATCCAACGGAGCGGTGAAAAGCCAAAGATCATAGAATTAATTTCGTTATTTGAATGTTACGCCTTATTGATCCCATTAGGGACGTTGTTTGTGCGAATTGAGGAAGGGAGTGTCTAATACGTTGGAAATCAATCATGGCGAAAGCCATAAAATTAAAGGTCTGACAGCTCCACAGTTAACCATGTATACCAACACTTTATTGATTACACACGCATCATAACATTTATTACACATTACAAATTCGCACATATGCGCCCACATGCATATGTATATTTGTAGATGTGCTCGTAACATATATATATTTTTTTATATAATGCAATGTACATATATAATAACACAACAGTATTTATTTGGTATTTTTTAAATACCTCTATATATTATTATATACTAATTATACATATATGTGATACCCAAACAACACCATGTCCAAAATCAGGACGTCTTAAAGACATCTTTAAGACACTTGTGTCTCAAATTTGAACATGAGTGCTGTTTGGGATATATATGTACAACTTACACACATATATTAACACTCAAGCGTTATTATAATCTAAGTTATAGTTAATAACTTTCATCTTGAGAGGATCCAGTCCCTCCATTTTTTTTTTATTTGAATCAGTCTACTTAAATTACGCAACAGTATGTCAGCGTACGTCCTACTTTTTGTTTATCTATTCGGGACATATGTACATTATAATTATTTCTATCTTTCTTCATTGTATAAGAAGTGTATCTCTTCTAATACTGTATATATGATCACTCAAGGCATTATTGTGTTCTGATTGTACGCCATGTTCTACAATAAGACATCAGTATTTTGATTCTACAATAAAATTGCTTTTTTCGCAGAAAAAATTAATATTTGTCCTAATAATAACATCGTGCATATCAGCCGTTATTTATGTGAAGAAAAAAAAACACTTCGTACGGTCATAGCGAAGATTCTTGAAAAGAAACTCCTTTTTCCTAACTTTCTTTCATAAAGAAAAGAGGCTTCTCTTGAAAGGAAGCGCTTTTTTCCTATTATACGCAACTGGGACACGTTAATTTGTACTGTTCGCTCTACTGGTTGCGCGTAACAACGTCAGAACCGTAACCACCACGCGATGACAGTTAGACTCTTTATTAAATATTCGACACGGTTATAACGCGAAACAAAACTTCTTTCACTTTGTTTTACTGTCTGTTTCTTTCAAACTGAAGGAAATTGCTTAAGCGAAATATAAGGTGTCATATTTTCTTGAACGCGGAGACTTGGGAAAATTAGTCCAAATAACGATTTAATATCGCTGTTATACTATCATGTTACCGCCGTGTCGTTATGGTTCATAATGCGTCACTGCTCTTAATCCTACTTATTATTAGGACAGTCAACCACTTGGCCACTGACTTTGTTGGCTGGTATGAGAACCAACCAGCATTGTGACTAACATTAAACTAATTGTCATTATTTTATACAACGAGGCGTACATATACTTTTACAATCATTGTGTAGGAAGCCATGTCACATATTAGATAACTATAACGCATGGTCTGAAAACATTAAGGTTTTTGAACATTTAACTGGCTTACATTAATGGAACATTTTCCGAGGAGGAAACAGTCATATATGTATGAGATATATATATATATATATATATATATATATATATATATATATAAATTCCGCGATCTTAAAACGCGATTTACTAAAATACATTTTTCTTATTTCACTTTCTCATTTCATGCTGGCTAATATTTAAGGTACAGTCACAACAGTATTCGATACTACAACCAGATTACAAACCGTGCATTCGCAATGGTTTAAAAGTCGTCTCCGATTGTTTTAATCTTCGAGTCATTTAAATTGCTATTATTCCTACCCTTAAAGTCTTTGGATTCCTAACTTTGCAGTTACCGTTTATTCTAATTACAAATAAAGGTTTTTAATTTCCAATTTGTCTTTAGTACACCAATTTATAGGTGTCGAGCGACTTATGAGCTGCTTAGTTTGTAAGATTCAAACAAGTTTCAAAAATACCCTCGCACTAAAAATGAAAGTGCGAAAGTTTAGGATACTGACTTTCTGACATGGCATGTCACGCGGCAAAGGGTGAAGACTATTTCAAGCAAGACACGCTTGGATAATTGGCATATAAATATTTGTGTCTTCATAAGCAAATTTCTTTCAGAGAACTAAGGCCACTCTCCTTGTTTACAAAGTTTTTCATTTACTCCAGAGTCAAGTTTTCATTGAAAAAATTGTCAAGGCATCAGTAGTTTCTTTTTAATTGTGATAGGTTGTGATATTCTGCTAGATTATCGCTTAAAATTGTTCAAGAAATACTTTCCATAAAAATGAAAGATCGCGAGGGATTTCCCATTATACGTTACTACTCGTCAACAAATCTATACTATCCTTTCCCATAAATTCGCTAGTTATAACAGGTTTCGCGATTTTCCTTGTTTATTTCTCGTTATCATTTTCTTCAGCGTATCCAAATTATCTAATCTATTCCCTGAATGTCTTTGCACGTCAAAGAGATCTATAAATATTTGAGAATCTCTTTAGACGATATATCTATAAAATATATCCATATAGTATTTACCTACGACAAAATATACCTACAATATCTCCAAGAGAGATTGATATTAGATATGCATAAAGTATATTTCAGCTTCTTTCTATCTTTATACTGCTCACTCTTCTTCAATTTTTTGTTCTATTTGCTAAATACTTATTATAAACATATTCTCGCGCATAAACTATACATATATTTATATTTTCTTTCACAATAAAAATAATCAAACAATTTTCAAAAATAAATATTTTTCTATTGTGTATTCTTTTGTGTGTGATACCTCTCATTATATTTGGAGGACACAAGATATCATCGATCTTTAAAAAATAATACTTTCTATATCACTTTTTATAATCCTCTCCAACTTCTTTTCATTATGCAACATTTCTTGGCCATTAAAATTTTAATATTGACTATTTATTTAAGCTTCTCTATCAATGTCGAGGACTTATTTGATAAACGTTTCTCAGCTCATTTATTATAAAAATATTGCAATTTTAATTCATCGCAAAAGAATAAAAAATTTTAAATATTAATAGACTGTATATATATAGTTAGTAAAAAGTACTTTCCTCCATTTCTTGAACGCAATTAATTGAAAATCATACCCAATGATGAAAGTTATAATTTTCGATAAAATTCGAATTTACGAAAATCCAAAATTTAATGGTTCTCGTAAATCGAATCGAATAATAAAATAAAATAACTCACGCCATTGACAATGTACAATTGCCGACATTATGAGAATGCTTGTTCATATCAGAGACTTACTTTACGTTGGGCACATTGTGTCCTCAGCATCGTTCTTCTAAGGACTCGTCATCGGACATAAAACAAACGTGTCGTGTCAGACTTGCTGCGAAGTAATCAGATCAGTTTTACTAGAATTCTTAAGAATCGATGGTCCGGGAAGCTTCTGAGCAGTTGGAATGACACTGGGTGGTTGCACCATCATTGGCTGACCGTTTACTAGGATAATCGTATCCCGCACCGAGTCGTATCCTCCCGTGGTTGCTGCAAGACATTAAAAAAACATTGAAAAACATTAAAATAATTAAATTTTTAAAGTCTTTGTCATTCGAATTAATAAAGAATAATTACCTAACGAAGTTATCAGAGTTCTGGAAGGTGTCATAGAATTGCGTGACGCCGGACCCCACTTGGATGTTGGCTGCAACAATATCTTTATGTGGTTCCACACATTCTTACTTTTACTCTTGCCCTTTTCTTTCTTCCCTTTTTTGCAAGATCCGTCATCGTCCTCGTCGTCGTCGTCATCGTCGTCGTCGTCGTCGTCATCGTCATCGTCAACGTCCTCGTCATCTTCATCATCATCATCGTAAGGTGATCGCCGACGCCGTCCCTTCAGCTGATCCTATATTCATCATTTTCCGTATAACGATGTGTATTCATCGACATGCTATGTTTAATTAAATAAAGAGGATATTCCAACTTACTATAGCTAATCCGACAATTACTAAAACGGGAAGCATACTGATAACCCAGCCTAATACGTCCGCCCATTTCGGATAAATGTAAGCTCCATATCTGAGTGGCTCGTACTCCACCCAATTAAAACAGAGAATAAAGAACAGGGCTGCGGGCGTGACGAGCTTCCACATCCATGTCCAGAAGAATCTCCATACACGGCCTCGGGGCCCGATCATCTGTTGAACGTCGTTCAGAAAGCGATCCGCACCGTACACCCATGCCACGAGGATACATTCGCTTATGGCGATCAGCAGGACGGACCAATTGGCCGCGTATTTATCCATTAACTGCAGCCAGTACATGCCAGCCTGAAGAGAAACAGATGGTTGCGATAGTATGTTAACGATCAATTATATTTTAATGAAACTAAGTCGTTTGTGACTCACGTTACTGGTGAAAATGATGCCACCGACGTAGCCGAGTACCGCAACTCCAAAAACAACCCAGACTTTATAGCTTCTCAACGATGGAACACCGTCGAGTATCGCCGTGGTGACGGTCTCCATGAGAGCAAACTGTGAATCGAGGCCCAGAGTAAGCAGCATGATGAAGAACAGCAGCGACCAGACGGGCGCAACCGGCAGACGAGCCACAACCTACGCATAGTAACAAAGAATCGTCGGTGTTCCTGGGACTCAAATGCCATCAACATAGTCCACCGATATAAGTAGATGAGAAGATATCACTTAATTATTTTGTCTGATTATTTTTTTTTTAACGCGTCGATGATATCGATGGAAATAAATGCGAGATTAATTTGATAGAGGACGAAAATTAATAATCACCTCAGGATACACAATAAATGCTAAACCAGCGCCTTCGTCTACCACTGACGCCACCGGTACATCAAGCTCGTGAGCAAGGAAACCGATTACCGAGAAGATCACCAGGCCGGCGAAGAAGGAAGTCCCAATGTTGCTGATCGCCACGATTAGAGAGTCCTTGTAGCAGTTGTTGGTGAACTTGTTATATGAACTCAAAGTGATCAGGCCTCCCCAGGCTGGACTCAAAGCGAAAAAGATCTGAACAGCGGCGTCTCCCCATACTTTGGCGGATGTCAGTCTTCTCCAGTCGGGAGTCAGATAGAAGAGTACACCCTCGTTAGCACCAGGAAGTAAAATTCCACGAATAAAAAGAACAATCTGCGAAAAAGGAAGTAAGTTCGTTTAAATTGTTTAAAATACGTTAAATTAATCACGTACGATAAAATTGTGGACGTACCAGGACAACATATGGAAAGAGTGCGGTGAAGTATACAACTTTGCCTGAGCTTTGTACGCCTTTGCTTAGACAAAAAAACACAATGATCCACGCCAGGAAGAGGCAGGTCGCCAAGGACGGTCGAATCGATCCAGTTTCCTCGATCCCACTGCTGATTCCCAAAACATGATTGCTAGACACAAAGAAATTGTCTATCTTTTATTTCTCATTTAAAATTAATGCTTCTGGCAACAGTGGCAACACGATTGAAGCAAGTAATAAATTCGATATATTACAAATCATTTTTAAACTAAAATTATAGCTTGTCTTCACATCGACGTAATGTAATGTAAGACAAAGTCAACGCATAGATGTAATAAGGCAAAATATACTTGAAGTATACAAATATAAAGTTAAATTAATAGATTAGCGATGTGATCTGTGATAACGGGATAAACGCAATCAAAGAAAATCTACACGGAGTATGTAATTACTGAAAATATTCCTCGGCAGGCGGTCTTCTGATAGCGCCGGTTATGTTCTCGATAATCAGGCCCATCGACGTCATTTGACTTGAATTAAGGCATTTTCCTTTGAAGTAAGAATCGTTTTGAGAGACACAAGCCTCGGCAGCGTCCGGCATGAAGCAATCCTCGGTGCTCCACTCCTTCTCGCATTTGCTCCAGGGCAATTCCCAACCACCTGTGGCAAGAACTCGAATAAGTCTTTGGAAAAATAGTAATTTCTATTTTTAGCTGGCCTTCACTCGTCAACTGTGTCACGTATACACATTTTTTTTTTCTTCAAATTTATTACTTTTTTACATGAGAGCTTTACAGACTTAGAACATTGCATGTATACCTGGAAAGGGAATGAAGGATCGAGTCTGTGTGAGCCTGTGTGGGAAAGATCTGTGTCCAAACTGTGTCCAAGTTGGATGCGAGAGAGAACCATGTTTTTTAAGGAAAGAGAAAGATAGATTAATAACCTTTGTCCGCAATGCGCAAGTGCGGATAGTGCAGCAAGGTTATCAATCTACCTTTCTCTCTCGCACCCAACTTGGACACAGATCTTTCCCACGGGATTCGCGCCATTCACAGTCACAGGAAGCATTCATTTTTGGCCATATTGACCTTGTGTAGAGGCAGGAGCCAATACAAATATAAGAAGAAGAAGACAGGAAGCATTCCTTCAGCATTCACAGGAGGCAATTCCTCTTCCAGGTATATATGTTTTACTAATTTTACAGACTTACAGCTTGAAGTCTACATAGTTGCAATAACACGTTACATTGTCCTGAAGGTATATATTAATTAATATTATTATTTACCAACGACAGAGGCAAACATGTAATACAGCGTCCAGGCAATGATTAAGTTATAATAGAGCATGACGACGGAACTGACGAGGACCATTCCGTATCCTAAGCCACGAAGCAGAGGACAAAACTGCTTGTAAGCCGCCACTGGTCCGAGACTAGCGTATTGTCCTGCAGAATAAAAGAAAGGTGTATATCTATGTGTATCGTGGTATCGCAAACAGTCCATATTACGAATCTCGAAGTGTTCCATTTAATTTTTTTTTTCGTTGATTAATTACCTAAGGAAAGCTCCATGAACATAAGAGGCAATCCGGCAATGATGAGCATCACTGTAAACGGTATCAAAAAAGCACCGCCGCCGTTCGAGTAACAAAGATACGGGAATCTCCAGACATTTCCCAGGCCCACACTGTATCCCAGAAGAGACAAAAGAAAATCGTATCTTCCCGTCCAGTTTCCGCGCTCTGAGTGCTCGTCTTCGCCGCCCTGCAACGGCGCTTGACTGTTCGCTACTGAGTATTTATCTTCATTCTATGAAAAAAGAAAACGACTATATTTTAATGATACTTGACTCGTTTGAACGTTTTTACATTCACGCGATATACGATCCGAAAAGTATTTATCAAATCTATAATATGAATTTTTGCTTACATCCCAGTCCACGTAAGGACGTAGTCTTGAAGTTTTTTCTTCCATTTTCTAGGCATATGGTCTCTTGTCGTGATATTAATTGCTTCTTCGTTTCCTCATGGCTACCGGCGAGTCGCGCCCAAAGTTCAATGTTAATTTATACTAATTCACTTCGATGAGTGGACTTTCTACGTGTCTATTTTTTATCCTGTGTACAAATTTTTTTTTTATTGATTACTGCTTTAGCTCCTTATATTCATTTACCGTTGAAGATAAAAGTCTGTCTTATTTTATCGTGCAAGAATGCAAGAAAGCAAACACTTTCTTACGAACGATACGCTCGCATCTTATTCTTTTCGTTGTCTCTATGTTAAAATTTAAAATTCACTGTGCATTGCTAAACAATAATTATTCACACTCTAACTGTTATTATCAAGTTAACACCGCAAAAATGCACACCCATACAATTATGCAATTGATCATACATGTGTGAAACTTCTTTCTTTGATCTATTTAAAATTATTTTTTTGTCTCAATCCTGGATTAAAAATAAATTGCAAACAAGATTTTTTTAATTAACACTTAATAAGGATAAAATAATTATATATTGCATTAATATCGTCCATATTCAATAGTTTAGAATTGAGATATATCAGTATAGTAGCGTATGTGTAGATAAAAGAGATGTCAATAAGAAAAAATATAAAACAATTAGCTTTGGATAAATCAAACGTGCACATTGAAGAAGCAATTATAAAAAAAATATATTTCATGATATATCAAAAGACATTGACATCAAAGAAAGATACTTTACATTCAGTAAATCAATTTATTACATTGAAATTCGGATTCATTAACATACATTAAATTTAACTGATTTTTTTTGCCATTTTTTAATCCTGATTTCGGAGAAAGGCAAACAATCACTTGGACTGACGTTAAAAGTAAACGATGACTAACACAAAAGTTATAGCGAACCAGTCATAATCCATAAGTCCCGATCCGGGATAACATTTATCGCGTTTCTATCATTCAAAATCACGCACGTTCGTTTTTTTTTTTTTCCCATTTAAGCACATTGAAGAACAGAATGCCGGTATCAGCTGATACCATTGACCTACCTGCCAGCCTTGACAGAGAAGCTCGTCAAGGTCAAACTCGCACTGTGACTAGAGTTCAAGGCCGACACGCGGTAGATCCGGAGCCGGTAGATTCCAGGTTGCGAGAGGACGAGAACTCGCAAGAAAGAAGAAAAAGAAAAGGAAGAAGAAGAATAAGAGAATAAGAAAGAAAAGGGAAAAGAGGATCAGAGGCGGGCGAACAGAGACGAACGAACGTGGAAGATTAATCGAGCGGCACGAGAGCGATCCGTACCCGGGCAGCTGACCGGCCTGTCTGACTGTCCGATTATAGGGGAGCTTTTGCTACATCCGACCCTCTACTCGACGCTCTCGCCCCGTTCGCTTATTCTCTCTCTCTCCCTCTCCCTCTCGTTTTCGCCCCCGCACCGGGAGACCGAGAGACCTGTCGAGCCTCAAACTCCACTCCGGATCGATCGATATTACTGCTCCTGCGAGCTGCTGTGCTCTACTCGAAACTTTTCCATCGCCTCGACCTTCCCCTCGGTGCCATTACCTCCAACCGTACGATTGGCCCAGGTTTACCCTCGGTGAGAGGGATGTGGGCATTTGCATCTATCCTCTTGCGAGAACAGATCCGCGTGGGAGGTACAGAAATGAAAAGCAGGATCATGACATTGCTTTCGACATGACTTTTGATCGCTTACTAAGTGCTTCCTCATCATCCGCGAAGCTTGCAGACTCTTTTTGACGTTTTCAATTAATGTTAATAATGAAAGCATCGCGAAAGAAGGATAGATTGGAAGTTGCTTTGAGCAGTTTAGAAACTGACTTTTAATTTCCTTCAGGCAAAATGAGAAATTCATTAGGCTTTTCGCTTGGCACATATTAAATACGATAGTCACGATTAATAAAATTGATCGTCAATCATCAATTTAAACAGTTAATTGCTAATTGTTTATTTGAATGAATTTTTCGCAACTCCGGAATATTGGGGCAAAAAGAAATGGCAATTAGCTTTTCATTAATCCATCTTGCTATATCAACGCTATTTGTACATAGTGTACACAGTTCACTTTGATTTCTCGCAGAAAAAGTTGTCGACGCGAATTGATTTCCGATGAGTAATTGTCACCGGCATTATCATCAATAGAAACCGCCGTTCTCTTGAACAATGCGGAATTAAATCTTCCTTGTAATTCTGTGCAAATTGATACTCTCTCGCAATTCGTCTCTATTCACGCGTTACTTTCACATCAAAGCGCGTAGAAGATTTCGTTCCGTCGCGTCGGTTTGATACTCGGTTTAATCTTTAAACAAAGGCGACCTGGCAGTTCTTTTCCCAACCGTATCTTTTTGCGAAGATTTCAAGCGCGATGTGGGAAACGTTTAAGCGTCTCCACGGATCGATGGATTGATGGCGACGACGCGATCTAATCCTAATAAAACAATGTGACTACTCGTGCGAGTCGCGTACATTGTACGAGTAATATATATATTTCCAAGCGAAAAAAAGATGAAATATAAGTGAAACATGAATACAGAAGATAAATACTTTGTTAATTGTTAGTATAATAATCCAGTAATAGTCTTTTATTAATTGTTTGCACGTATCGTGACTTTATCGTTTGTAATTATTGAATATCATGATTATAACGATCGCAATAATTGTCGCGATGTAGACTTTGAAAAACGCAGACTATTAAAAACAGTTAAAAATATCATTAAAGTAATGAGTAATGCATTATATCTTTTTTGCCACAGAACAAATTACTTAATTTTTTATAATACTTAATCTTTGAATTTTGTTCTGTAAAAGCTAAATATAAACAAAATAATCTCTGAAAATACTTGATCGCACTTAAATATATATACTTTAATCAGGTATTATGTCTATTTTGTTACTAATTAGCAGGAGACAAAATGAGAAGAGACATTTTGTATTTGAAATATATCATTTATTTTATACCACATGAAAAATGGAACTTAGGTCTCGAAATAGAAGTTCTTATTTCTATATATAAACAAATACGTTGTATAACATTTTAACTGCATCTTTACGTATTAAAAATAAAACAAGTTTACGTACGATTACTTAAAGAAATAATTCAAAATATTGACACCATTAATACGATTATTTAAAAAGAAAGCGACCGTCTGTTCGCAGTTCAATATGGTGCTCCCCCTCTTAATCGTCGCGCCGCAGAAATCCTAGAAATATATAGCAATAAAACTAATGAAATAGATAAATAGAAATAACATAATTTATAATAATCATATAAATGTGTGTAATAATAAAAAATACACCCATATAAATTATATACATAATAATGATTTAGAAATATACGTGCGCGTCGCGCAAAATTTGAATCGCGCGACAAACCGAGAAGTCGATCTGTCGCTCGGCGATCGCGAATTCGCGATTAATCGAAAGTCGTGCGCTACCGCGCGATAACTCGTGGCCCCGTCGTTGGTGCTGATCGCAAACGGTAGACGTCAGTAGGCACAGAAAGCAAAAGAGACATCGGTGGCTCTTTTTTCCTCCGAGCGAACTCTCCGATTCCCGCGAGCCGATCGGAGTCGCCCCGAATTCCCGTCGCGTATAAACCGGGGCGCGGATTCGCTTAGCCGTCCATCTCCCTAACCTCCAAGACCCCCGGATTCTCCCCCGCGCAAAGATCATCAATCTTTGAGAATCATCTCGAATCTCTTTCTCGCTCGCTATCTCTCTCTCTTTTTCTCCCGTGGTTCCATTTATCTGTTCCCTCTGTTCTGCGCTTCGTTCTTCCATTTTCACTTCCCTATTTTTCTATCGCCTGTTTTTCCATCGCCTTTGAACTCCGTCTATCTGTCCGTCTGTCTCTCCTTCTCCTCTCACCCCTTCCCTACCCTGCGGAGTCTCTGACTCTGACGTATCGAAAAGTGTGTCCCTCCGCGGTGAGGAACCCGATCGTTCGCCGACCACGCGACGTTTAAAGTTTAAAGGACACGGCGAGCGAGCGACGTTCGCTCCGCGGTAATCCGGACGATCCGGAGTATCCGGACCTTGACGGTGTCGAGTGGCGAGCACATATCAGCGCGGGATACCCGTCCCGGCGGTGTGTCGCGTAGACGACGGCGGACAATTGGTGCGCGCGACGGCGGCGGCGACGGCGACGAGCTCAGCTTCCCGTCCCCGAGCGAAACAGGCAAAATTCCGACGATTTACGGTCTATGAGCGCCAAGAGTCAGGGGGACCCTGGAGAAGATCACGTTTCCAGGTGTCACGAGAGTTGGTTGCGTCCTTTAGCGTCGCCCGTAAATGAAAAAAGGGAGAAAAGAAACGAGAAAGAAGGAAACAAACGCTCGCTCTTCTTCGCGGGGGTGGAGGGAGGAGGAGGGATAACATTGTCGCGCGTTTGACAGCGATCTGAGCGATCTGCTCCGACGGCGACAAACCCCCGACGGTTCGAGTGACGCTCGTGACACGCTCGTGACGGACGCTCGGTTCGGAGAATCGCGATTCGCATTGAGGAAGTACGCGCGGATTTAAAGTCGACACGATCGGTGAATCGAGACAGTCTTGTGAAAAATTGTGCGCGGAGTAGGTTTTGCTTTCCGTCTTTCCCTCTCTTTCTCTCTCTCTCTGTCTCTTCTTCTCCCTTTCCGCCTCTCCGTCTCGCCACTCTCGCCTCATTCTCACTCGGCCGTACGAAAGATTTGTTTACAGCGACGTAGTACTTTACCTTCGTCACGCGAGATCGCGAGGCTGTCTATTATTAGCGCTTTTGTTTTGGTGCAACGACACCGATTCAACGATATATAATCCTCGTGACGAATCGGAGCGAGTTTTTTTTTACGATTTACGTCCGCGGGGACCGAAATTATTCGAGCGATCTTTGTTCTTCGAGTCTCAAGCTATAGCTTATTACAAAGCTTATTGAGATGACTAGTCACTTTTGTATAGACATATAAGAATGACTGAACGTTCTTTAAGAAGAGTTGAACATACCTAGTATTTAGGCAGCTGTGTTATAAATAAAATATTTTCAGTCGTGCCGCAGAACGTATCAAGAATCCAGTTTACATATATTTTATGTTGTACTGTCATTTTTGTAGGGTAGGAGCGGAGAGCCCTTGCAGCGACATGAAGCGCGCAGCTGCGAAGAAGCTCATTGAACGTTACTTTTACCAACTCACGGACGGATGTGGGAATCCTCATTGTGACAATCAGCATTGTGCCTCCAGTGGCAAGGTATGACTTTAAGATTCATTCGTTTGTCTGTGGCAAGCTACGGGAGGATTTGAATAACGTTTTAGTCGTGTAAAACTTTGTTTGGTTCTTTGACAGGTAACTAATCTTACTCCAAATCAAGCGGCTGCTCAAGCGATACAATTATTCTCGCAAGAAGCGAGACTTTGCGATGGTACACAACCCAGTAAAGTTGCTCGGACTACCATAGAGCCTGGACAAACGTCGTTAGCTAAGAGTCTACCTGTAAAAAGCGTTAATTCGACGAGCTCCGATGAAGGTAGAAGCAAAACATCTGATTATTATATCGGCTTATGGGAGAATGTAAATGTCTGATTATTCATTGGATCGCAAAATAACACATTCCCGTTTCTCATTAGGAAAACAAGAGTCATATCTTACGGAAGCTAAACTTCTGGATATTATAGAAAAATGTAAAGCGGAAGATTCATATTCTTTGTTAATTCGTACTTTGGGAGAGGTGTTTTCTTGCGGAAAAGCGTTGAGTCTCAGTTTTCAAAAAACTGAGAAAAGTAATTCCCCACTGACGGCACTTCTCGAACGAGCACCAGACACTCTGTTCAGGCCACCTGCAGATTTGAATAAGGAAGCGGTACGATCTCTTCAAGGGGAAGATAAGGAAGAGGATAGCAGTGATCCATCGCCTACAGTTCCTAATAATGACGATACTAGTGTCGATTTACCATCGGTCCGTCGAGCTTTTGAAGCACTTTGGTCTTTGCCAGGTATGAACAAATATTTTGTTCTCAATGCTGCTTTAACATCGATACTCTTTTTGCTGACTAAATCAAATACATATTTCTTTCTGTTTGATTAGGCGAGGTGTTCGAGTCAGCTCTGGTCAATGCACTAGTCACTTTGGCGGATGATATAGAACTGAATCTGAGAGTGTTTCGTATGGTACGCTGGGACAGTATGGATAGTTTGTTAAATGTATTTCTCATTGTTTTTGAAATTCCGATGCTCGGAAATAGCGAATACTTGGAATTGGCTCTCCATATGTTGTGTAAAGCGTTGAGCTGCGTGCCGGTATTGGCTCAAGCCAAGCTAGCACGCGTATGGGCCAAACATTGCAAGTCGCGGCTTCCAAGCCTTCTGCAAGCGCTTCAAGAACTCATAACTGTCAAGGTACATTCTCTCAACTTTGGTCGACAGCTTTTGTTTCACTTGCATGGATCTCAAAATGATTTGTTTTTATTATTATTTATTTTCTGATCACACAGATTAATCTAATCACATTTGGTAATCATTGCAGGTAATCGGAGGATCCTTCACACGTGATTATTGCGTCCAAGATGCAGACACTATTACCGCACCTACGAAAGTTATGAAAATTCTGTATTATGCGAGTATGTTGGCTGGTGAATTAGATCCTCCAGAGCTGGTATTAGGCGACGAGGGTGAATCGGCTAGTAGCGACAAAACTACTTCACGATCAGCAATATCGGGCCAGATCCCTCAGGTATCATCTCCGTCGATTGTCTTCAACCTCTGTGTGGTATACCTATTACGTTATTTTTCTTATGATAAATAAAAGCAATATACATTTCAGGACCCATTAGCGACAGAATTAGGAATTACCGCGTTGGATGCACGTAAACCTTTCATACCATTTACTGATTTTTACAACGAGCCACTTAGCGATGCCATAGAGATGGACAAAGATTTCGCTTATTACAAGAGCGAAGAGCCAATGAAATTTAGTTTCATGAATTATGCTTTCATACTTACGCCGGCCACTAAAACTTTGGGCTTGTATTATGATAATCGTATCAGAATGTATAGCGAACGACGTATGAGCTTTTTGCAAACCGTTGTTGGGCAACCTACTAATCCATATCTCAGATTGAAGGTTTGTTGGCTCAAAGACGAAGATTAAGATAATTAGTTTTGAAAGATTAGTAAATTTCATTATTTCTCGTTTAAACAGGTGCGAAGAGATCATTTGATAGACGACGCACTGGTGGAATTGGAAATGGTGGCAATGGAAAATCCGTCTGATTTAAAAAAGCAATTGGTTGTAGAATTCGAGGGAGAGCAAGGTGTCGACGAAGGCGGCGTATCTAAAGAATTCTTTCAACTAGTTGTCGAGGAGATATTTAATCCTGATTTTGGCATGTTTACCACTCAGGTGAGAATTTGCACGACAATGTAAGCTTACATAACTTTTTTTTCTGACCTTATTTCGTTTTTTTCTGCTTTAGCGTGTTTAATACGCTTTTTATGTATGTTTGTGATTTAGTTTTATAAAACGTGGTCACTGTTTTATTTCAGGAAGATACGCAAATGACATGGTTCAATCCGACATCGTTTGAAAGTGACGCACAGTTCACATTAATAGGCATTGTTATCGGTTTAGCGATTTATAACAATGTAATTTTGGATGTACGTTTTCCAATGGTGGTTTATAGAAAATTGCTAGGCAGGAAAGGCGGTTTCCCAGATTTGGAAGACTGGAGTCCGACATTATATCGAACGATGAAAGAATTAATGGAATATACGGGAGATGACATGCCGGAGATATTTATGCAAACTTTCCGAGTTGGTTACAGGTATGTCTACGATAAGCCAATCGCGCACAAAAAATCTTATTGTATTCTCTCATGTATTCTCTCTATTGCATCTTTTCAATAGGGACGTATTTGGATCGTTATCGTTCCACGAGCTCAAGGAGAACGGCGATGAGCTCTATGTCACACAGGAAAACAAAAAAGAATTTGTCGATCTCTATGCGGATTTCCTGCTTAACAAATCCGTAGAGAGACAATTTAATGCCTTCAGACGTGGCTTCCAAATGGTTACGGATGAGAGCCCGCTGGCGTTGCTCTTCAGACCTGAAGAGATTGAACAGGTACAATTGTTGATAGGGCGTAAAGGATACGTTGTATCGAACGATTGTTCTAATAAAATTATTTGACGTGCGCGTAGCTCGTTTGCGGAAGCAAAATATTTGATTTTGCCGAGCTGGAGGCAGCTACGGAGTACGAAGGCGGTTACACTGTGGACAGCGAAGCGGTACGTAACTTTTGGCGCGTAGCGCACTCCTTACCACCGGAAAGTCAACGAAGGCTACTTCAGTTTACCACGGGTAGCGATCGAGTACCAGTCGGCGGTCTTTCGAGACTCAAGATGGTCATTGCCAGACACGGCCCCGATTCTGATAGGTAATGTTTGCATTCCACTGATTATATTTACACAACGTGCTCATTATTATCGTATATTTTCAGATTACCAATAGCACACACATGCTTCAATGTGTTATTGTTGCCAGATTACAGTACAATAGAAAAACTGCAAGATCGCTTATTGAAAGCAATCAATTATTCGAAAGGTTTTGGCATGTTATGAGCATGTTCCGTCGCTCCTCTTTCTTCCACCGTCTTTCGAATGAGAATTCGAAGTACACGATAAGACTCAATTACTTTTGTCATTTTATTCGTAGTTATATTATTCGGAGGTATTTATCGTAATAATCCAAAACCGTGCCAGTGCGCTTGAATATGGAAACGTTGCTTGTGCAATATGGATCATCAAAAGGCTCCTAACGTTCTAAAAATTCCAACGAATCAAAGATCGAATCCTTTGTACAAAAACAGATGTTCTTGAAAAATGGTTTGAAACTTGCACTACGCTGCAAGAATCGCTTGTACCATACTGTGTACTTTTTCTACTAAAATATAGGTAACGAAGACCGATTTCGTTGGCCATTCCGAAACGATTGAGGGAAGAAGTGCAAAAGACATTTCGAAACGCACGACTGCAATGATGAGTGTAAAAACCGAACGGGACTGCATTATAGAAATAAATATGTAACTTTAGCGAAACATAGTCAACATAAACAGGATGCGTTTCGGGAACTCGATAGTTATAATCATTATATGATTTTACTTCGAGATGTTATTTTATTTATAAATTATTTTCTCATTACCAACAAAGTGATTGTTTGTTGTGAATAATGATTTATATAACTTTTTCTATCAAAGAAATTTGTTATAGCATAAATTATCACAACTTCTAATTCAATTTATGTATTTATATAATACAGACGAAATTTTAATCTGATAATTGGAATTTTATTTTATTTATAAAATACTTAATTGAATGTAGTATTTGTAGCAATGTGATTTATATAACAAAATTTAACTTTGATAATATTTAACTAGGTAAATGATCAATAAGAGTGAAATTAACATTGGTATAAAAAAATGTTCATTTTTCTTTTATTGATTTGCGAATTTTAATTTAATATACCGTACAAGATTTAAAAAAAAAATAAGAGAGAGGCTCTTATTGTACAAAATTGTAATTTCGTTTGGACATACTGTTTAGCTTCCTAAACGCATCTGATGCTGCAAAGCCGAAAACAACCCTTATACGAAACACACTGAGCTAATGTCAATCTGAACGGACTTTTTTTTGTAAAGTAAGGCGTGAGATAGTGGCGCTTTTGTATGTACTTTTCTTTCAATTTCTAACATTTTTCTCATGTATCTCGCGTCACAATGGTGATCAAGTAGTAACGAATAGAAATTCAATTTGTATAAACGTTTATAATAGGCAGCTCTTTAACGGCTGCCAAACATTGTCAGTCGTTTTATTGTTATTCACGTGACAATAAAGCTCTCAGAAAGAAATAATAGATATCTCCTACTCATTATTACTTTTGCAAAGTCGTGCAATTATCTCCTCTATTCTTTTCTTTCAGCAACTCTGTGAAAAAAATTTGGTTTTTTTTTTAAACATATATATGTATATACCCCACATTGAGTTTGGCTCTGCCAACTTGAATGTTCGTATAGTGATTGAAAGGTTTATAAAAAATCAGTTTCCGGAATTATCTTCTATTCGCGTGTCACTGTCTACTATTGTTTCTTATTTAGCTTCTAAGTAAGTTAATGTGCTGCATCATCCCTCTCCCCCTATTCCCCTCACCTAGCCCCAGCAGACTTTTTTTCTTTCTCCGAAAATAAAGATTCATTTGAAATAAGTTAAAGTTTTTGATGTTTTCAGTCATCCAAGCAGCGGAAAAAACTTGCAAAAACAATAAAACAATAACGGAATCGTAAAGAATGAAAAAGATAGTAAAGAGAAATTTAAAGCATAACTTAAGGTACGTAAATAAGAAAATAAATAAATTTATTCATTTATTTTATTATTTAATATAAGTATTTTACAAGAAACATCGCAGTCAAGAAAATAAATGAAAATAGGAAATACGAGAGATACAAAATACATAAATGAATAAAATATATATAAATAAATTGCTAAAAAATATGAATTACAGGGTGATTCAGAACAAATTTTTAACTGTCATAACAATGTTTGAAATGTCATAACTCTTGTTTTAAAATTTTGTCCGAAGCTTCATTTTTCAAAGTCTTCTAATTTGTTTTTAATCACTCTATGGCTGCGTTTCTTTTGGGCGCTCACGCGCTGTAAGCATCATTCTATCTTCGTTGCACATCGAATATCAAACAAAGATAGAGCGATGCTTACAGCGCGTGAGCGCCCAAAAGGAACGCACCCTTATATGAGTCAATCGAATGGGAATGGGACGACCAATCAGCGCTAATAAGCCTGCCTGTTCGCCGGAGTGTAAAAGGTTGCGGTCATTAATGGCGGTCATTAATGCCTACTCATCTGAGATAGTGCAATTCTATAGTGCACGTTACATGCACTATAGAAATCTCAGATTCAAGTGAAAAGGCATTAATGACCACGTGTACATATACATATACCATTCGAATGGAGGATACTTTAACTCCGGAACTCCACAGTCTCCACAAGTCTCCTTATCTCTTATAAGAATACATTTTTCTGACAATTTTGACAACTTTTGGACGCGCAACTTTAAATTACGGTGCACGAATGTCAAAAATGTGGATGCGCTGGATCCAGAAAGTTTTCAACTGGAAGTGAAAACTTATTCCGAAGCGAGTTATTTTTTAAATTAATTATTCAGCTAAGTTGCACATCGCATCTCTCTACCGATTTATAAGTATAATACAAATCGCAGACAATTGTTAATTTATTTACTTTTGTATTAGAGTGTACCGAGTCATCCTTATAAGGACAAATTCTCCGTCTCTTTCCGACTTATATCGATCTACGATCTACCATTGAATGAATTATCTATGACTGCGATAACGTCGGTGTAGGAGGTACAGATGTCAGGTACAGAATTTTCCCCGGGTCTTCCACCATAACACTCATGGCAGAGATCAACCAACAGAAGTTCCCGTTGCTATACGTGGAATGTTTCGCGCACCGTTAAATCCCACCTTTGATTTCGGTCGCGATCTCTCGTATAAACGTGTTAAAAAAAGAGGTCATAAAATACGAAACAACGACGACAGTCAGCATTTCGATTTTGCCCGAATTGGAGTCAATTCTGACTTGGAGAAATCGGAGAGATTGCATCAGACGATCCTGCGACATTGTACTTTCAAAGGTAAGAGAACATTCTAGAAAAGTTCGTTAGGTAGATGTGAGAAAAAATGTAAGAAATGTAAGAAAAAAAACATTTTACATTTTGTGAGAAATAAAAAAGTGGTATTATTCAATGTCGCGATCAAAATTTCTCTGAGATTTCGTAGGAGTTCTCTTGTTTATAAATTATCATGTTGAATAAATTTAATTAAATGGATGTTAAATACAATCAATCATATAATAATAATAATAATAATAATATATATATTTGTAAGATATCTGTAATATATATCCTTAGAAGTAAAGAATTGTATCTCCTATTATAAATTTAGAAAAAAAAACAGAATTTAAAAAGTTTATCTTTGTGAAAGTCATTCTAATATGACTTTTTCTAGCCATTGTATCTTAGGAACTAGTAAAATAATAAACAATAAGACCTTTCATTATTAGACAATAAGCTCCTGGTATATTGGAAAAAATAAATTAACTCCATTTTAACAAACACCAGAAATATATATGATTCTTTACCTCTAAGTAATATATATATATATATATATATATATATATATATATATATATATATGCTTGTTTTCTTACATATTTTTTAAAACAAAATATTTTCTGTATTTCTCAATTATAGAATGGCCAAGTCGACAATTAATTCGTTACAAGAAATGTCAATTAAACAAGGATTTACTAAACTCCCTGATTACAAATTTACGGAGAAAAGGTTGGACGGAACTACCATACAGTTTACATGTAATGTATTTTGTAACGTGACTCGCTCTCGACAATTTAAAGCATGTGGTACAGGAACATCCAAAAAGGAAGCCAAGCATAATGCGGCAGAGAACATGCTATTACTGCTCGACACAAATCATGAAGCTCCACTGCCAATAGATAATTTGTCGTCATCTTCAGTTGCAAATATAACACATAGTCCTGAAAAAGTCTACGAGACGTCTTCGCCGAATGAAGAGTCAACCGTTGACCGTAATTACGTTGGATTGTTGCAAGTAAGTTTCATTAGTTGTTAAAATGTTACAGTTCAAAGACTAGTCGTCAAAGTATAATATAATTATAATCTTTGCTCTTTGCGCAGGAATTTTGTCAGCAACAAAAGATACCGACGAGTAACATTCTGTACAAGCTTATCTATGAGGAGGGACCATTTCCCATGAAAACGTTCACGATGGAAGTTACCGTGGGGTCACTACGGGAGAGGGCTATGGCAAGCTGCAAGAAGGCTGCTAAGCAACAAGCTGCCAGAAAGTTGCTGCTGCGTGTGAATCCAAACGTAAATAATCCATTTATAGTTCATCTGAATATAGTTGATTCAAATACGCCTAACAGACTGGAAATGCTTGGAAAGGAAACGCTTGGACAGGAGGAGGTGCTTGGAAAGGAGATGCTTGAGCTTGAGAATAATATACGAAAATTGGGTACAGGAATATTAGACTGCGTGACTAACAAGGAAACCATAGCGGAGTTGACAGAAAAAGCAAAATTGCTCTATGTTGAACGTACCAAAAAAAGCTACGGGATAATCGATCAGACAACCAATCCTCTTGCAATCAATAATTTGCACAATTTATTTGAAAAGAATTATTCCAGCAAGATTCAGGACAGCTTGAGAGAGAAAATGCGGATTATACAGAACAAATACACCGATGAAACAGATCTTTGGCAAATCAGATGTGACATCGAAAGTTCGTTGAATGTCAAGATACAACAAATCACTGTACATAGCAAAATGAAGGACCACATCATAATATACTTACGCTTGCCGTCCAATCCTTGTATCACGCAATTCGGTAAGGGTGAAACTAAATTTATAGCACAATCTCGTGCCATGTATAACCTTGTTACAGCTATTTTGATACTTCTGAATGTTTGAGAATTTTGCGCTTCCGGATGTGCTGACGAATTATAAAAATTTATAAATATTAGACGACGATTTATTCATGACATACATTATTATCTATGTATATATATTATTATACGTATGTTATAGCTATATATGCTCTTTATACTATTTATTATACGTGCAAATGAGAGATTATAACGAGATTTTAATGTAATTTCTTATTCAATCGAATTGTATAAGATAAGAGGACAATTGTAAAGCGTATATGTGTTTAATAAATTGTTGAGATTTACGTCAAACATCAAAGGTGTTGTTACGAGGAGCAGAACTCTCACAAGATTATCCGCGCACGCGCCGCTATCGTCTTGATCATCTGACACACCTAATCTTGGCGCCAAACTTCGCCTTGTTTACTTCGTTTCGTTCGTCGTGCTCCTGTTCACGCTTTACGCCGTTTACGGAGTTTGGCAGTAAACTGTTTGGGCGCTCGCGAAGTATCAATTGTTAGGGATACGTCAGTTAATTTATCGGAAAATGTCAGACACACGTGTTCTGGGCAAGCGATTAGGGCAACGCGTCAATCAAGAGGCGATCGTGCTTGGCAGAATCACAGAGGTATGTTTTTTTGTAGGTTAGGTTACTCCTTTTTGAAACGAAGGCGTCTTCAACCATACCTTTGGATTATCTAGCGCGGATACTAAAGTTTATAAAACTCTGTTGATCTTTTTCACAAAATTAAATATCACTTGAATCTTCATCCAGTTTAATCAAAGCACAAATGTCTTTTGCTCCACGGAGATATGAAAGTATTTTAGGTTAGGTTAGTTTATAAGTTTCAGTGATCGCCGGTATTATTTTAATATTACGCCAGAACGAAGATCATTTTTATCGCATTTTATTGTAACAAATATTAGTTATTAATTAAGCAATATTTTCATATATATCATTAATATGTTTTCTAATGAAGTTAGACTCGAATAAATCTCTCGCCACTATTTTGTTTATAAAAAGTGACGGAAAATCAATTAAATTGAGACTCAATTAGGGCCACTATTTCCAATGTCTAACTGCAATCGATTGTTAACTTTTCAGAATCACCAACTTTTTATAGACTATTCTGAAGCTGTCGGTTAGAGTTTAACAAATGTTGGAAATAGTAGCCCATAATCTTACCTAATCCTTATTTAATCCTCTTTTATAAAATGACATTGTACTTAATAAAATCTTTTTTTACGTATTGATTTTTGAAACGCACATCTGGGGCAATTTGCAGAAAAGCTCGGATGGTATGAGCGCAGAAATAACAACAACGGATGACGCTCGAGTTAACGTCACGTTTCTCGAGCCACTCACCAGCAACTTTTCAGACTACGTAGAGGTGCACGGTACAGTGAAGTCCAAGTCTACCATGTCCTGCAGTAGAGTTATATACTTCCCACCGGACATGAGTAAAGACTTTGGTGAGTAAAACGTTTTCTCTCTCTCGCTGTCTGGTTTATCTAGCAAAAGTGTTGACAACATCCTTAACAAAGGTATTTGCTGTAGATACAAACAGCTACAACACAATGATGAATATGCGCTGCGCAGTGGAAAAGGAGTTAGAGGGAGGGTTTTACGGAGATTAAGAAGACGAAGATTCAAGGAATTTGCATATACAAATTGTTTACTATGTTTCATTTCTTCTTACATTTTTTGCTTTTTACATTCTATTAGCTGATCTGGTATATTATCCCTACCATAAAAGTAACAAGGAATGCTGCAATGTAAAAGAAAAGCATTCAAACATGCATTCCCTCGTCTGTACATAAAGTCAATCCGGCGGGATCAGATAGTATACAAAACATGCGAAACCGTAGAACTGTAATAAATTATATTACCTCAATAATACATATATATGTATAAGAATATTTGAACATTTTTGTCTATAATTATACCTATGTCACAGTTGCGTTACGCGTGTAATCCAAGGACGAGCAGCGACAATTGCAAGACGTTACAGGGCATTCAGTGTGTTGTCTGAAATATATCGGGAATGGAGATTAACAAATTTATCATAGCACGTTGCGCATTTGCATCTTTCCTCAAATATCAATCTATCCCGATATATTTATATCTTGTTAATCTGCGATATAGCATTAGGATTCAAGCTGGCATAAATACAATCTCGTATCCTTACCGAAACCACTGAGCTATATGTTCGCTGTGTCCACCGTGTTTACATGTTAGGCACCACGAGAACCAGCTGTTGAATTCCGTAAGTTTCGTATTGCATTCCTCGTTCCTGGTGCCACCGGGACTGGGAGCTGTTTGTAATCCGCTGACGGTGCCTATGTGCATCAAGCATATTGCGCACCGAGGCAAAGGTTTACGACAATTCGGGCATGCCGTCATCTATAATGATCGAACAGGACATTGAGAAAAGAGATTTACCATTAAAAAAAAAACCTAAGATGTGATAAACATATAAATTATGCGAAATTTCAATTAAAGAGCAGAACTGTGCCTTTAATTTGTTAGGAGTACTGCCTAATCTGCCGAATGGGACCCTCGTCCTGCTGAGCCCTTGCATGGAAGCTGATATGCTTTTGCCACAGAAGTGACAAGATACATGTATCTGTTGCGGCGGTCTCTCCTGCGGCGTCGAGGACCTCATGGCGATGTCAAATTTGGCTCTTTGAAACCATAATTTCCACGCGTTCAAGAGGTGTCTGTAACTGCAACATTGACATACAAAATAAAAAACTTGATTATCCGATATTTATGAAAAAAACAGGGTGATGCATGACTCTATGTGAGAATGATTGATTTATAATTGGCGGGTTTAATTCCGATCTTCATTCCGAAATGCCTCGTTTTTGTAAAAAATGTTGGTTGGAAAGTTGAAGATTGTAAGTAAAGGAATGGTATGTGAATGGTGTGACTCGTTTCGGGAAACTATATTTCAAGAAGATATTTATGAGAGAAGCTTATAATACCTTGTGATCCATACTTGAACTTGATTCTCTTGTAGTAACTTGGGCGGAAAAGCTCTGATAGCGATAAGAGTACAACTTTGAACATCCGAGGTGATTTCCAAGTATTTACTCAATAACTGTATACTTTCCATACTCGCACCTAACTCGCGCGACAATAAATAAGCATATGTTATGATAAACGAGCACATAGTTAACATAATATATTTATAAGAATACAAAACATATTCGAATCACAACCTGTAACTAAGAAGCCCGCTAGATCTCCGTCTTCAATTACCTTCTGGGTCAGTTTTTTCAAGTACTCGTGCAGCTTATTATCCGATAAGAACATGAGAGCGAATGCTACTCGATCTTCGACGGCCATACCATTTTCGTTCTGCAACGTCGAGCTTGTTAAGCACTTGATATCCAATCTCATCAAATATCGAATCGTCTCGGCATATTTATTCACACTTACAAGTACGCTTTCATAGGACTCGTTATCCGCAGTCAAGAAACCGAACGTCGCTCTCAGATAAGGGTCTGATAACTGGGATTTAGATTTCTGGCATGATTCTCTCCACAATGTAGTACGTTCTTCGGAGAAGCCTGACAATGCCATAGCCACCATATTTAGAATTGTCGTTTGCTTCTTGCTAGCACCACGGTTTAAAATATCTATAGCCTGCCTTAAGCAGAGATTAAATACCGCGAACGCGGCTGCTTTCGCGTACGCGCCTTCCTTCTCGAGCTTCTCCAGATACGCATTATCATACGCCGTATTGGTTTCTCTGTCAAATCGTAAACCGCACAGAAGAAGACTCCTTTCTCTGTCCGGCGATCTGCGATCAAAATTATATTAAATGCGCGCAAATACCATGTTTTCTCAATATTTTTATGCACTCAAACAATCAACAATTACCTGTAAACCTTTGTCATATAACCAGAACCTATATCCGTCCACGGGCGATGGATCAGTTCAGTTTTCAAACCATTGACCGGATTTTGCTGATCCAATTTCAAAACTGTCCTATGTAAAAGTTGAAAGCATTATGTTTACATACATACTTCCAACTATAAAGCTTTGTAATTTTACCTCACACCAGGATGCTTATTATCGGGACTCTGTATAGTACCGTCTTCTACTAAAGAACGACTCAGGTACAACCATTGCCATACATTTTTTAGAGTTTCGTTTTCAGCTATATCGCCATTGTGAGCCAACTCCGGCTGTAACATACGCACGCACATACAATTATATACCAAGTAAATATAATTAAAATTAGGGATAAAGAAAAAGAAGCTGATACAAGCCAACGGCAAAATAAATGTCAATAAAGGGAATATTGAAATGTTTCCATTGGTTCTAATCACTTACAAGCAAGCCATATTCGAACATAGCACGCCTCTTGGTTAAAACTGAGATATCATCTAATTCCTTATAAACGCTATCTTCACTGTGTATGTATTTAAACGACTTGAAAGCGCAATTCCACATGAGACACGACCGAGCGGACCAGTTGAGCGTTATTCTCTCGGATACAGTATAATCGGTTACACCTGTGAAATAGAATAAGAACGCTTCAGTAATTTTGAATAACGTTACGCTCCAACGGATTATACTCTAAGATAAGATATCGTCAAATACCTAGCAGCGATATAGCCAACAATCGATTCTCATCGGTCGGATGCCATGAAAAACTTAGGGGGCTATGCCACGGTGGTAAAACCACTCTTTCCAAAACACCCGGCTCAGTGTCCTCTACCCCGCAGTACTGAATATCAAACAGATGCAGGCTGACTGCAAAATAAAAATAAATGCATTCTCGCTTTTAATTTTTCTTCTTGTCACCAGCTTACGTTTCAATATGTCTAACACAAATTTCGAGAGACCTATATATAAATGTAATTACAGTTTACAATCATACATGCATTATACCTGAATCTTTTTGTAAAGTGCCAATTAGATTTCGTCTAGTGGGACACCACAACACCTTTGTGACCTGTCGTTGCGGCATTATTGTAACGATCGGTTTCTCGAAGCACCGAGTATCCCAGATTGTTATCAGATTGTCGACGTGCGAAAGCAACTGATAATTATTATGGGGGTTTACCGATAGGTTATATATCGCTTTTGTAGGAGTAACGTTCACCACCTTTGCAGAATCTAAAAAAAATTCTCAAGAGTTATCGACAATTGAATAGTAACCGTTGGCAAAGATCGTATCCTTTTAAGAGCATACCTCTGAAATCGATAACTTTCAACTGCTTGTTATTAACACCGAGAGCCAGACATCTTGGCTCGTGTTTAAACCAAGCGGCGGAATGTACGGTTTCTGATATGCCGGCTTCCACTATCGGTCCCCCCGAGCCTTTCGGACAATGGTGCACGTCCCAGAGCAGCACCGAGTGCTCCTTGCTGTGTTTGTCCAGGCCCGACATGATCAGGTGGGTGTCCACAGGATTCCAGGCAACGACGTTGCACGACCTCAGGTACTTTGGAACTGGAATTTTATCGAGATACAGAGATTAAGCGACATATCGTTGAAGAATATAATCTTTCTCGATAATGTAATATATAAATGATCCCTACCAAATTCTCTGCCGACCAGGCCCTGATAATCGAACTCTGGCACGCTGAAGGTACTCAGAACTATCTTTCCATTCGCGTGGCCACTGGCAACGATGTCCGGCTCCGGTTGCGGACATATGTCGACGCATTTCGCGTAGCTGTTAATGGTAATGGAGCAGACCAGCTCCGCTACGGAATGATCCGAAATCTGCAGATCTATTAGAAAGAACGCCCCACGTTATGTTAGCACCTTTTCAAGACAAGCGTGAACTTGGCATAATCTCTGAAACACAATACTTACAAGTTTGCTCGTTCTCCCGTACGCTATTATCACGCGGACTGATCTCGTAGAGATTCAACATCGTGTCGCTGTCCCACGTGATGAATCGGTCCGAGTGAAAGGGGGACCACAGCACGTCCCATTTCGGGCGGCTCATCGTTTCCCTCTGCCTCGTTTATCACGCGTCTGTCACAAAGCTGCGGGACATCGCGACCATCGCGTTACTTCGCGCCCGCCGACATCGTCGGGCACCGAACGTCGAAACGTTTACGTTCAACTTGCGCAACACGTATCGCGATTGCACGTCCGTCGCGCAATATCCATCCAGCCTATCGACATACCAGGAAAACGTCCGGGTTATCCTCGACCACGTTTGTTATGATAATCCGTCCCTTGCGAAACATGCCCTTTGGATGTTTACGTTTATCATTCCTGATGCCTCCAGACACCTCCAGATGCCTCCCGCTCCCGACTTCATCTCCTCTCGCGGGAATTTAATCAAACTCTGCCCCCCTCGGGCCCCGCGCCACTCGCCGCCCACCGCAACAACAACCCAATACAAAATAAACTAGATAGATAAACAACCGCGTCACCGCAAGACAACGATCGCGTTCGTAAAACACGATCGATCAATCCGGCGCGAAATGATCGCTGAGTGGTGCTCGGAATTCATGAAAAACGACTTGTTCTTTAACTTTTGATTTATTTTCTAATTGTTAGTTTAATTTATTTTTATATCATTCTTATTAATCTCTTCTTAAATTTACACTTTTTTAATAAAAATTATAATATTAATAAGTTTCATGTTTCCAAATAAACGAATATCTTGATATAAAAAAAATTAATGCGCGTTCCTAAACTTATAAAAAAGTGTAGAGGAGATTTATTGTGGGAGCTTTCCAGGACCCCTATTCTGTAACTCTAACGACAGTGTCGGTATACTACATGCAGGTATACTACATGGAAAAAAAGCTGCGCAACGACGACATAACGATACCGACACTGTCGTTAGAGTTACAGAATAGAGGTCCAGGACCCCTATTCTGTAACTCGTAACGACAGTGTCGGTATCGTTACGTTGTCGTTGCGCAGGTATACTATATGGAAAAAAAGCTGCGCAACGACGACATAACGATACCGACACTGTCGTTAGAGTTACAGAATAGGGGTCCAGCAAGCGGACACAAGTCGACACAAGTATCGTTTTGTCTTGCGTTTGTCCCATAGAGATATAAGAATAGAGTGCGCGAGTCATATGCTAGCACGTAAGAGGCTGCGATATAGAAATAGAAAAAGAACGCTGCATATAGGCCCTTTCTGTCTTTGTCTACGCGTGCATGCGAAACAAAGACAGAAGGGGCCCATGCGCAGCTTTCTCTTTTTATTCTGCGCAGCTTTCTCTTTCTATTCCTATATCGCTTTTTCAGTTCGCTCGCGCACTCTATTCTTATATCTCTATGGTTTGTCCTCCACCGGAAGATCAGCGGATTATTATGTATTATATATTTTCATTAATTTATGGGATATCGTATTATATTTACAAATTCTTCAATTTGTTTGCATTTTTGTCACGAACCTTGACTAATGTTATTACATTTGAATGTGGTGCGACATTCCGGACCACGCGTATCCGCGTTCCGGACAAAGTTTGATTGGCTGTCCTATTCTTCTTGCAGCCGGTGCATGGGATGTCTTGAAATAGCGTCAACGGGACGAGACGGTTCCGCCGTTCCGGTGAGTCTCGGCGAAGTCGGGTCGCAAGATCTCAAGGTCGAGAAAACGAATGTCGACAGATCAGCAAGACCGCAAGTGCATACGTCATGTCGACGCATCTCGTACATACATCCTCTGTAAAAATACGAACCGATAGCGTGCAACGGAACGCGACGCACATTGACGCACATGCCTCTCCCCGACCGTCCCCGACGCCGGTCAGTCGTGTCGCGTTTGCTCGCGGCATGAGAAAGAAAGAGAGAGACTCGTTTAGCTTAATCCGCGCGAGCTGAGAATTCGGTTTCTGGAGTCGGGTAGCGGGCAAACACCGCAAACACCCAAGACTCGAGCATGTGACTTCCGCACGCGTGATAACTGCTCCGTCTTATCAGCGATCCCGAATCGATCTACCTTTAAAGGCTTAAGACACTCCGCGCCGTTCGTCGCGTCAACAATTGATCTAAGAAGTAACCGAAAGAAGATCTAACAAAAGTAACCGAGTGTCGGCGCGAGAAAAAGGAGGAAGAACAACAGGCGGGAAGAGGATATATCCGAGGAGGAGGAAATATTTAAGGAGTACACGTACACAGGTGAAGAGGTGGGTGACACACACATTTAAAGCTGCCATGCTTGCGCCCCACCGTGCCCTCCAGCCGTACGCACATTTTATAAGGACTGTACGCTCGTTGCAGTCGGCTAGTTACCACGGTGTCACGTCAACGTCGTCATCCCCGCTCGTCGTGCGGGAACCCGATCGTCATCGTCGTCACCTGCTGCGAAATTCGTCGTCGATAGAACAATTCGCGAGGACACTCGGCGCCTCGTTCGCGACAATGGCAAAAATAAAGGTAAATACGAAGTAAAACTAATTGCCCGCTTTTCATAATCGTACTGCCTCGTCTGAGACGTTTGGAGGGTGGAAGAAGAGATTTAAAACCGGTATTTCGCCGTTTCTTCGTCGCCTCGGGGAAAGGGCATGGGAAAATGGACTTTACACCGATCACGTTACGTATAATCTGTACTCAAAGCTGCACGAATGTTATCACTAATTGCAAAATTCTAGGAGAATACTAAGGAATAAATATTTAAATTCAAATCTAACAATATATGCGTTATAGAATTTCCAAAAAGAGACGTGTTCTTCTTTAATTAATATTAATTTATAAAATAAAACTTATTTATTTAAAAAAAACTGTCTAGAAAGAGAAGGATTTGTTAAGTACTCTTGTACTGATTCTCAAGTAATATTGCAAATATTTTGCAATTTTTAGGCAGGTCCAGTCGTCGACATTCTCGGCGATGAAATGACGCGCATCATATGGGATTCCATTAAGGAGAAACTCATCCTGCCCTACTTAGACATCGAGTTGCATACGTACGACTTGGGTATCGAGAATCGCGACGCCACCAACGACAAGGTGACGGTGGATTGCGCCGAGGCGATCAAACGTTACAACGTCGGCATCAAGTGTGCCACCATCACGCCCGACGAGAAACGCGTGGAGGAGTTCAAGCTGAAGCAGATGTGGAAGAGCCCGAACGGCACCATCAGGAACATCCTGGGCGGCACGGTGTTCCGCGAGGCGATCATCTGCAAGAACATACCGCGTCTGGTGGTCGGTTGGAAGGAGCCGATCATTATCGGCAGGCACGCGCATGCCGATCAGTACAAGGCCACGGATTTCGTGGTGCCGGGTCCCGGGAAGCTGGAGATCACGTGGACCGGCGAGTCCGGCGAGAAGATCCAGCACACCGTCCACGATTTCAAAGGTCCCGGCATCGCCCAGGCTCAATACAACACCGACGAGAGCATTCGCGCTTTCGCCCACAGCTCATTCCAGTACGCGTTATCGCGCACGTATCCGCTGTACCTTTCCACGAAGAACACGATCCTCAAGAAGTACGACGGTCGCTTCAAGGACATATTCCAGGAGATCTACGAAAAGGAATACAGACAGCAGTTCGAGGCGAAGGAGATATGGTACGAGCACCGATTGATCGACGACATGGTGGCCTACGCCATGAAGTCTGACGGTGGTTTCGTATGGTCGTGCAAGAACTACGACGGTGACGTACAGTCGGACTCGGTGGCGCAGGGCTACGGCTCCTTGGGTATGATGACGTCGGTCCTCCTATGTCCGGACGGTCGCACGATCGAGGCCGAAGCCGCCCACGGCACCGTCACCCGTCACTATCGTCAGTACCAGAAGGGCAACGAGACGTCCACCAATCCGATCGCCTCTATTTTCGCGTGGACCCGCGGTTTGCTGCATCGCGCCAAGCTCGATGACAACGCGCGTCTGCGACACTTTGCCGAAACGTTGGAGAAGGTCTGCGTCGACACCATCGAGGCTGGTTTCCTCACCAAGGATCTCGCCATATGCATCAAGGGCATGAACAACGTCACCCGGTCCGATTACCTCGAAACGTTCGAGTTTATGAACAAGCTCGCTGAGAATCTGAAGAAACAGCTCAAGGCATGACTCGTCGACGTGGATGAAGAGTGTAGTCTACGAGCCAAGTATTAAGTCGTCGCGTTGTAATGAAAAGAAAGAAATATTTACGTGGTTGCGGGGGGAAAAAAAAAAGCTAGACTTCAAGCATATATTATATATAATTGCACGCATATAAGATTGTCGCTTACAGTTACGTCAAATCATCCTTGGATTCACGCTGCATAACGTGACCGCGTTTGATTTATCTTCGATTATCATTAATCAGACCATTCGTTTCGCAAAAGCGTCACGAACAGCCGCGTGCCTCATCTTTTCCACGACGGCCGTGCAATAGATATGAAAGACGCGATAATACTAACGAGATACTAGCTGATGATTGGACCACGTATTCAACTCGGCAAAACAATCGATGGTATGATGTAAATTATCGTTTATCGTGGCGTTCTAAAATTATAAATGTGGAATACATCGCGAGTGAACGAAGTAATTTAATGAGCAGATAAATTTAGCACACTGATTGATCAGAGAAAGCGAATAATACATATGAACAATTGTATAGATCTTTAAATAAATTTTTTCAAATCACAAGGCTAAGTTAACATTATACATATACTAATTGAGATAACTTGTGAATCGTTCTACATTAAATGAGCATAATTCGGTAAAATGAAATCCTCGGGAGATTAAAAGGAAAACTTTTTGGTCGTGTAAGAGCAACTTCTCCTCTTTTTAAATCTTTACACTTTCTTGACATTACGATTTAATCGCATTTCCAAGGTGTATTATGCGTATAAATACTGAAACTTGCATCGGTATCAATACAGCATCGCTTTTTAAGAAGCCTTACAAAAAAATTACATCGCGTGATCTGTCACGTGACGAATAACAACTTCGTAACGTTTGCTATCAGTTATCAATTCTCGCGATTACTTAATTTCACCCACAGAATGAACGAATGTTACGCTATAAACGTCGAGTTAGGAATTTTAATTTTGCGCAATCCAAGCAAAGAACGATGGAAAACATAATTATCTTCGACGTTTGAATAATTTATAGAGTTATATAGCGAGACATTTACATCGATTCCTGTCTTTACGTTATCGACAAGTTATGAAATGAGATCAGCTAATGAGATCACCAGTCTCTGATCGGATCTATTTGAATCTGTCAAAGTGAAAGGTCCTTGACACTTGTACGCTGATTAGGAATGACTTCGACCAAACTCTGATTAACTTATCAAATAATTTCAATTATTAGTTTCTTGTCATTTAAAAAGAAAAGATTAGAGACGATGAATTAATCGCCGATTAAGTTGATCGGGGTTCGAATCGAAGTCGTCCTAAGAATAGTCTCCAATAATTAGAATAAATCAGAAGAGCGGTTGAAGTGCGGAAAAATTTCAGTTTTTAAAGTCTCAAAAGTGCACAAAAAGAATTGTATTATACAATTGATTGATTTAAATTTCTACAGTTTTTCTACATATGAGTCAATCGTTACTTATTCATTGATTTTATTTCATTTATTTTGGCAAAGACTAGACTTCCTCTTTGGAAAGCAGATACAATCTTCCCAAGTCCCCCTAATTATCGCCGAAAGTCAAATCGGTCGAGTTAAATTAAATATACGGAGACGTAAAAACAACTGAACATTTCAGTGACTCGTTACTTTTTAACGTGGGTCCGTCAGTAAGACACACAGTCCTGCCTGCATTAATCAGCCTAATAAATCGCGGAGAATTCATTGACCTTTCGCGAAACCTTTCATAAAATATTCCTGCATTATATGCGAGAGTTCCAGGTCCGAACTCTCGTCTTACGTAATAATCAGTCGCGACTTTATAAATATCGCGTCATAACGATCGGATGCGCGGGTACACCCGGTACGTTCAAAGTGCCCGCGTTTACACGCATCATCGGACGGTAAGCGAAACGCGCGTCGGTACAATCGCGAGTTACTTTATCAACATTGCGTTCCATTTTTATCCACCGATTTGATCCGCCATATGGAACTGGAGAGGTTTCCATTTTAGGGGAAAAAAATTGTGCAACGATATACCGGGAAGATATGATAAACGGGTAAACAATGCAGGCGGACAGAAAGGACAGAATTTGATTTAAGATGTTTACGCTATTCAGCCGTTTGTTATTTTTTTTGTTAAAACTAGGCCCTCGCCGTTTTACTTCTTCACGCATCGGATTACATAACCCGCTATTTATCTCCACGGATCTCTCTCCAGTCGCATTGCAGAAATGCAAATATTCCACCGTAGATCGGGTCTGTTTAACAATGATAATTCGTCAAAGTGTATTCAGCGCTCGTACGTTAACCCGGTCAGCTTTGTTGAGTTGATCACCCGTCATTTCCAGTGAGCAAAAGTAAGCGGTTATACGCTAACAGTTTGTCAGCAGATTCGGGCAGAATATGTCGCGACGGATTTTGACATCAACCGTGTCCGCATTTAGGCATCGTGTTCAGCATGGCCTGTCGGTGTATTCGACGAATTGCCAGCAAGAGTTTTGTCGTTTTGTAACATTTTGAATAATTTCTATAATCAACCTATACTAAGCCAAGAAACGTTAAATCAATATCTCGAAATGTTGATTTTATGTTGTATTTGTTGAACATTTTCACTTGATATTTTTAAAATGTTTCAAAAACTTTAGCAGATAATATAATATAATTTCCTCGAATATTGCAAAATTGTGTTTTAGAAATATATTGAATCACTAAAGTCATTCGTAAATATAATGTTGATACCTTACAAAAATTGCATATTATAAAATGGTATATACTATATAATATTGAATATTGTTGCAGTACCCTATTATATATATTAATGACTTTTTATTTATTACACATTCTATTTTAACAAATTATTATATTTCTGTTTTATTATTACATATCTGCTGCAAAGCTTGTAGCAGGCACTGTGCAAAATCTGTTTTCGACATACTATAATTAAATATTTAATATTTGTATCGCGACAATGAAACAGTTATAACGTCTGTACCCCTCAGTCATCCCCGGACCCACTTTTAATAATCACGAAAATTTAACCAGAGTTAGTCCTGGTTTTCCGACAGTATATTATTTGTTCGTTCATCCGTCGCGCATCCGACTTTGCTCCGATATTCCGACCTCGTCCTTCCCAATGGCGGCGTGCACGCGACGCTTCTCTTGAAGCAGGTAAGAGGCACGCGTTTGCGTAACGCCCTAACTGCTTTACGCACGCACACATCGACGTCGTTATCGCGGCGCTCGTTGCCTCGGTGCTCGCGGTACCTCGCTCGAAAAGGTCGCCTCTTCCGACGCCACGTCGCGACGTGTCCGTCCGGTGACGTGTACTACGCTGTCTACCGTCCCGAAAGGAGAAGAAACCCAAATATCGGAACGGGAACATCCGCAACTTACGTAACCTTGAAGCCAAAGATAAATACCTCCCCCTCCCTTTTCTTTTCTATAAAAAGTAGCGTATTTTCCTGCTCGCTATTTTCGCGAAACGCTTCAATTGTTACCGCGATAATTACTCGACGTTTTAAATTATACTGCGAACGATGATGTATAGCTCGCATTTTGTTCCTCCTACGAGGAAAATTGGAAGGGTTCCTCGCGAAAGAGTTTTATAGAAATATGTATCATTATCGGGTGTGGATGTGGGTTGCAGATCAGCTGCCGCATCCCAATTTCTATTTCGTCCGCTCGATCGCGTGGGACGTTTGTAATATTGAATACGATGGTAAATAAACGACGACTACCGTCGGCGACGCGTCGGCCGCTTCTCGCCGATAGAAATCACGGGCTCCGGATTAGCCGAGCACGCCTGGGACACCCTGTATACTAGCGCGCCTCGGAGCCGATATATCGGCGAGGCATATCGTGTCGATGCTTCCGCGACTCGCGCAGGCTCGCGAGACCGAGAACTGCCGAGACGAACCGACGCGACGCACCGACGCGATTCCACCGGGACCGGAAAAGTAGGCGACCCTGAGAGAAGCATCAGCAGCGGCGACGAGCGAGGAGACGCTCCTCCCGTGTCCGGAGTGCACGGAGTTCGCGACAATTAGTAGTAATAACTGCGCGAAACGACACGAGACGTGACTAACGATAAGAATGATAGGTCCTCAGGTAGCGTCGCGGGGGACGGAAGAGAGGGTTCTCGGGATGAAAATAGGATGTAGGACAAAGACGGTGCAACTCCGGAACAAGATCAGAAGGGATTGAAATGGATCGTTTTGAAAAAAAAACTAATAATAATAAAAGAAACATAATAGGTTTCAATACATCCGCTCGCGGACGACGAGAGTAGTTTCTTTTTCGGGCACTGCCCCAAGAGCGGGACTTCCGGTGAAGCAAGACGTAGGGAGAAGTGAGAACAAGGGGGAAGAAGGAGAGGAACGACACGCGTCTTCCAGTGTCGGGACGGAAATGACGGAATCGGAATTGCAGATGGCGCCGAGGCTGCGCCACTTGGCCATCGTCAGCCATCGTCGCCGTCGCCGCTGTTGCTGATCGAGTCGGCCGGCGGCCCGCGGCCGACCGCAAGGGCGCGGCGAAGGGGAGGGGGAGGGACGGGGCTGCGCCTTCCGAGGCCTTCTCGTAGTCTTTCTGCTCCATCCGAGCTCCGAGCTCCAGTCCGACGGCCAGTGCTGACGCCGCCGGTGACGAAAGAACGATATTCGCGATCGAAAGCCGGCGCAATCGAAGAGAGAACGGAAGAGAGCTCGGCAAGAACGAGTTGGAGCGGGGCGACCGGCGAGGAAGACAGGGAGGGAAGAGAGATAGGTAGAGACGGAAAAAGAGGGATAGACATAATTGAGAGGTGGGGAAAGGGGAAGCTAAGAGGAAGAGAGCGGCTACGGCGTCGCGACGACAATCTTTTACGCGTATCGCCATCGATACCCAGCTAGCAAAAGCCTCCAAAAGAAGTCCTTTTAGAAACTTTTGCTAGCTGGGTACTTATTTGAGGCGGAATAATCGACAGACGAAACGCGACAGACGAACGAACGAATGAATGAATGGCCTCGACGATTAGTGCATGGATCCTCGAGAGGGGGGGGGGGGGGCTAGCTGCTCGATTGCTCGAGCGTCGATCATTGCTGTCATTGCTGATGACGCGACGGTAATTGACGTCGTCGCTGACGCGGTCGCGTATCGCGTACGATACTACCGAGATAACCTACCGTGAGAAATATTTATCGCCGCGAACGGCGGCGCAGGTGGGGCACGTAAGCCCACAATTATAAACGTCATCTCCGGGACGGCGCGTCGCGCGCCGCTATTAATATCCCCGCGAATTGTTGACCCTCGTCGAAAATAAATTTGGGGCATGTAGGAAACGCGCGGAAAGAGCGACACGTGGTTCTGGGAAAGCGAAAAATGGGCGAGGGTCCGGCCCCGACTTCGAGGAACCGTGCGGCCTCGCAATATGGCTGCCTCCAATTGATTCCTTCGATTTCTTTTTTTTGTACACGAACTTTCGCACGGGCTGCGCCCGTGGAAGAGGAGGAATGGATCGGCGGAACGGCGAACGCGGGTGATCGACGGTGGAACCGTCCGCGTCGCCCGAGCGGATCGATCCGCGCCAGACAACGCGCTAGACGCGTCGTCCGACGACGATTCCTCCGCGTCGATCTGACAAATGTGCGCGCGCCCATCGGGGTTTTCCAGCTCCAGGATTCATTCGCGCTCGCTGCTTTTCCTCGCTGCTCTCATCCGGACGTCGTGCCGGGACACGACGAAGCCAAAGTCGGTCACGGTGCGGGCACGTGACGCGGAACGCACCTCTCGTTTCTTTCGTCGATTAAAAGGGATTGCGCTCGTCGGTCCCGGAAAACCGCGGCCCGCCTCTTTGGAAATTCCATGTCGATAATCTAACACGAGAACGCCATGCTGCTCAGCTGTAGTCGCAGCTTACGTGTCAGATACCAAGTACGCGCCGTATCGTTACGTTCTTATTAGGATAAAAAAATAAACGTAGGTATCTTATCGCGAGGAGAAACGAGATTTGAAATATATCCGTTTATAATCAAACGATGAAGGCTGTTTTTGTACGATACAGTAGATAAACAATTGCAGACTGTTGGGAGCCCAAACGAATGAAGATGAAGACGCGTAATTAATTAAATTGCGAAATTATTGATTTATTCGAGATTCTATCTAATTATTACTATAGAGTCTCTTCCACCACCTAAGAGATAATTGCGATAGGCGAAACAAACGCTGATAGGTAACTGGATCGGAAATTTGTATATAATATTCATAGGATAGAACAATCGGAAATGTATCTACTAGACTGGCGCGAATATTCGGGTGATATATTATTTTGCTCTAGACCTCTAGAGTGCTCTCTATTCATCTTTCAGAGTAACTAAAGTAACTTGGAGGAGGAGCATCTGAATAATTAACACGTTGACTGCTACGGTGGTCATTGGTGATCGGCGCAACTGAAATTTTGTAAAAAACTTGTAAGAAATAAACGCTACCTAATACAAAATTTTTAATTATATGAATATATAGACAACGATGCAAAGTAGGAAGTGCGCTATCCATGAAGATGCATCTCATTTAATTGCACAGTATTTTATTATTTGTGCCTATGATATTTTATCGTTAATATATTTATGATACTTTATTCTTCTATGCTATATGATGAAAATTCTGTGGCGTATACATGGTAAAGCATATAAATCTTGTCGGACAGACGTGCGTGAGACGTGTTAAAATAAAAAGCCGGTCTCGGGCGTCCGCCGGACCTCGCGTCATCGTCATTCCGGGTTCAATTCGTCTCGAACCGTCGGATCGCGGATAAAAGCGTCTCCTCCGTTTCCTCCGCGTATAATAACGGCCGATATCCGCAGGCGAGCGCCGGTCGGCGGCACTCGGCAGCGCCGGGGTTAATCATGGCGCCGCGCGCTGGAGACGGGTTCCCCGCGGCCGTGGGAGCCACTTGAGTAAATTCGATCTACGCGTGGATCGCGTAAGGCCAACTTGGCGATTGTCGCGGGTAGACCGACACGCGGGTCGTGACCATCGTCGACTCCGATCATCCTTTTCAGCCGCACCGCCCGCGCTTTTCCGCGACTCCTCCCCTCCCGCCGCAAAACGCTCCGCGCGGCATTGCGGCATATTGTTTGTTCTTTTTAAGCGTCGACGTGGCGAGGGAAGTCCCACGAGGAACGAACGAGACCTGCAGGCACGAGTCGTCGAGCGCCGATCAGCGCCGATTGCTCGTAGTTGGAAACGCGGCCATATTTGCGCCGACCTCCGCGCGGCTGATATTTGGAGCGGAAGAGGAACGCGCGCGGGAGTATCGAGGGCCGCCGCCGTCGTCGCCGTATCGACGTCAGGTCTGCGCGGCGGTTTTTCCCTCCCTCCCCTCTTTCCCCTTTTTCTTGTGCCTTTTCTGCGTTTCCTATAGGCGCGAAGGGCGAGCCGCATCTACAACCTCTGCGGAGCAAGGGTTTTTTTCTCGCACCCCATCGTCGCAACGCGATCCGGAAAATCGTAAAAATCGCGCTCGGCTGCTGGGGGGAAGGAGGGAGGATGTTACGCGACCGCGACCGGTCCGATTTCACGACGGCGCGACGACGGCTCGGCACTTTATTCGCGACGACGAGGGGGATACATGCACGTAGTACGCGTCCTCCTCGTTTCGCGGAGCTTATAGCGGAGTATTAACGATCGCAATAATATACGCGCGCTCCCGCTTTGCTCGATAGATCCGGCCTCGCGGCGCGAGGCGCGACGTGTCGCGATTAGAGCGGCGACGGCCGAAGGAGGAGGTAGCGGAGGAGGGAAAGAAAAAAAAAATAAGACGAGAGATCGAACACGCGCGAGGCTGAGGAAACGCCGCGCGGCCGCGGAGAACGCTCTGGGAAATCGTTGCGCGGGATCGTTTTCTTCAATTTTTCCAAATTTTACCGTCGGCGCCCGGCGGCAAAAAACAAGGGACAAAGAAAGTATGGCGGACCACCACCATTGGCACCATTGTGACCATTGCCGTTGCTGCCGCATGTCCGCGTCGCTTCCATTGTGAGGAGAAACCAGAAACGGAACAGACGTACGCACGCAGGCATCACGCATAGGCACGTACGTACGTCCGGTTGGTATTTCCGTAACGCGAGAGGCGGAATTCGTTCGGGCCAAGCGTCCACGGCGGCTAACGGCGACGACGACGACGACTACTCAAAAAGAGAAAAAAAGAAACAATATTGTTGCTGCGATCCAGCAACAAAATACGACGCGGAAAGCGACCCAGCGATGTGGTGCGGCGCGCCATTGGTGGACCGCGCGGTATCGCTCCGATAAAGGTTTTTAATCGCTCTTGACTCGCGAGAGTCGAGAGCGGCATCGGACGGACACGTTCGAGGCGTTCGCGAACGAAAGCGTCGTCGCCCCCGTCGTCGTCGGTGCCGTGCGACGCGTGAGCCGGCGGCCGCGAATGCGCCAGCAGCAGTGGCGGAACTTCTGCTGCAGAAGCAGCAAGACTGCAGCAGGAGCGCGCGCGGCCAGCAGCAGTAACGGCGGAGCTGCAACAAACAGCGAAGGTGCCATAAGTGTACGCGTAATCTTTATATTGCCAGGCACGAGATTGGCGAGAGACCAGAGTCCGACGATGACGATGCCTCGCGCTGGACGATGCAGAGAACGTGGTGAATAATTATTCCTGCGCGGAGGAAGACGGAAAGAGGAAGAGTGAGAGAGGGAGAGGGAAAGAGAGAGAGAGAGGTATAGAGCGCGCGCGGCCATGTTTCCTGCGGCGGGCAAGGGCGAGCGAAGAAGTCTGCGCGGAAGCGCGCGGCTCTCGTCCAAGATGTCGGGAAAGCTGCCCCGGTTGCGTGCCCTGCGACCGCGGCCGCAGCAACAAAGGCGCGCGAGAACGGGGCCCGTTCTCGCCGTCGGCGTCCCGACGCCGCGACCGGAAGGTAACCTTAAAGGGGCCGTCGCGACGAGTCACGAGGTGGAGCACGCTGCGAAGCGGAGGCACCACGACGCGAAGAAGGGCGAAGACTGCACGGGCACGGCCGGCGCTGTGAGCCAGGCGAGCGTGATGGACGAGGAGGACAATGACGACGAGCTGACGATGACCGCCAGCGTCGACGAGGATGACGAGGAGGAGGCGGAGGTGGAGGAGGAGGAGGAGCGGGAGGAGGACGAGGACGAGGAAACGATCCTGGACGTCGACGTCGACGTTGACGTTGCGGTGGATACCGAGGAGACGATCGACGTCGAGGCGAGCGAGCAGCAAGCGTCTTACGAGTGCAAGACCTGCGAGCCGTCCAAAACGCTGCCCAGTATCAAGGCCTACTTCGAGCACCTGCGAAAGGAGCACAAGTACAAGGTAAGCATCCCGCGAGGACGCCGTTGCAGTTGCTCCAAATTTACTCGAATTTGTCACGCTACGTGTTTGACGCTCTCTCTCTCTTTCTCTCTCTCTTTCGTGCTTCTTTGACAATTTCTTTCTTTATTTTTTTTCCTCTTTTTCTGTTTTTTTTTCCCTTTAAACATGGCCGTTTTTAAAACGGAAAGCACGACGACAATCGAGAGACAATTCCGTTTTAAAAACGGAAGGTGGTTTCGATAGCTACGCGTGTCCGCGTGTCCGCGCGTCGTTAGGGACGCGGTGTGTTATACCGTGTTGCGTGCATTATTTTTTTTTGCGCACGTGCCGCGATTTCGTTTTAGCGCGTAGCGAACGACGTGTGCTAAGTAAAAAAAAAACAATCATATCGAGACACATTGCTCATAGGTCGCAGGAATATGTTTTATTGTAATTTTTAGGGCAAAAACGGGCACAGTCCAGTCGAAAATCGTTGCCCTGCGTGTTCGTATGTCGCCGTGAACGTGAAAGATCTTGAAAATCACCAAAGAGTGCACCATTTGAAAAGAAAATTCTTTCGATGCGCAAAATGCGCGTACGTGACGCACATCAGAGCGCGTTATACTAAGCATGTTAAATATCATTCTATGCCGATGATCAAGTGCGCGGCTTGTGATTTTAGTTCAGCGTATAAGGTTTGTTCCTCACTATACTTGGTTTCCCAGCGATGTGTTTAATGCGTATGAGAAACTTTCCAGGGTTTCGAAGGAAGCTTGCGCGTACACTTTGAGATTATATACTATATAGATTATATGTGTGCCTTTTTTTGACGCTGTTTTTCAGTGGAATCTAGAAAGACACATGCGGAATCATGGAGGTGGAGGTGCTTTCAAATGTCGTGCATGTAATTTTACCGCTGATATCCGTCAGAGCTTAACGGTGCATGAGTCGTATCATCATGACCCACCTGTGGGTCAGGTCAACCGCAAAAGTACGAACGCTTTCGAACGTAAGCCACGAAATAGTCCAAAACGTTATAATCAGGTATTATATATATAAGCACGTATATATACACGTATAATCGTTATTTCGTTCGTCAGAACGCAACGCGTAAGCACGTCGTATAACGTATTTAATGTCCGCTAGGTTGGAGCCAGTGACTTTCGAGAAGCGTTAAATAAAAACGAAAGTACAACCACGTCGGCCAGTTCCTCCGCGTCGTTCGTGTCGGATCACTCGTTACGTTCGTTAGACGCTAAGAAAAGCGCCCTGGCCAGCGCGGAGTGCATCGCGTTAAAATGCGAGGAGAAAGGCTGCCAATTTATAACAGCCTGGGATTCCGAGATGCAGCGTCACTTAGCGGAATGCCACGCGCCGGTTGTCCCGTCGAAGCCGAGAAAGCCACTGCCAATGTTGATTCCACTGAGCCTAGCCCCAGCGAGCCCTAAGCCCAATAACGCGCACGGTAATAGCGGTCCACCTACGACCCTCCTAAAGGTTCCGCGCGTCAGAGTGAGACCTGAACTGGCGCAAATCGCGAGAGATACGGAGCTGGCTAAGATGTACGGGAACAAGGAGGTTGGTTGACACACGTTGTTTTCTTTCCTCTTGAAAACTATAAGGGTAATAAATATAATACGTGACGTCTTATCGGTGCTGGCTGTCATTTGTTTTTAGGCCGCGACGTCGAAGAAGAATCTCAGCACCGCGGCTGGTGTATTTGAGAGAAAGAATGCCTCCTTCTTCGATAAACTGAAAGAAAAACTAACGACGACAGCGACGTCGATTAATAACGGTGTGCCGGAGGTAGCTGTAAGTAGTGAGACAGACTTGAAATGCTGGTGTACGTTTAAAGCTAGTAGCATGGAAGAGCTAGCTTGCCACAAACAGACACACCACACCGCGCTCAGCGTATCCGTGGGCACGACACGTTGCCCTAAGTGTAGAAGACGTTGCAAGAGTACCGCTGATCTCCATACGCATATGCAATGCTGCCATTCGCGCAACGACGCAACGCCGTCCATCGATAGTAGTTTAGAGAAAGTAACGAATCGCTCAGACGTCCGCATGACCTTGTACCGTGACGAATACTCTTTTCCGTCGCACGTGGATTGGGACGCGAATCTCAGAGGACTAAATTCTTCTGGACCTCCGGTACGGTGCTTGATAATAATGATTTGTAATAAGTATATACGATAAGAGAAAACCACTGCGCAACCGCGACTTTAGATGCGAACGTCGCGTCATCGTCAAGTCTGTATAAAGCGACTCAAGTTTGAACAGTTCGTAGAAGGCATTTATGAGAATTCTTGTATGAATTAAATTCTTGTTGCTATGTAGATATTCTTCTATTTTGGCTATGTGTTTTATAATTTCTCGTTTCTGTAAATTAGTTAAACACCTATGAGTGTTGTTGTTGGTATTGCTAGTATTGACACAAGATACTTTGTTTGACTACAAGATACTTTGTAGGAGTATGCATAAAGAAGCTCTATGTAATGTATCGCGAAATGGTGAGCGTTGTTTAGAAACTAGAGCGAGCCTCGTTGTTTTTCTTTTTATTTATTATTAAGAATGTGCTTTACATATTGCATAGTGGATGTCGAGCATCTCTCTATCTAGCTCGTTACTAGCTCATTCCTAGTTTTTTTTACTGGCAGTCCTATTTATTACGATAAAAAACTTTTGTCAGTTTGAAGGTGGTCCGACACATCCGAGTGGGCGGCGGGTATTCAAATGTCCTCATTGTCCGTTTTGGGCTTCCACCGCAAGTCGCTTTCACGTACATATAGTCGGTCATTTAAACCGGAAGCCGTTCGAGTGTTCAATGTGCGCGTATCGTTCTAACTGGCGATGGGACATCACAAAACATATTAAGCTTAAAGCGGCTAAAGACGCAGTGCATACGAGCGCCAGAGTGCTCATGACGGATGAGACAGGTCGACGGAATTATTCCAAATATAACAAATACCTCGCACAGGTGAAATAATGAATCTCAGTTACATAGAATAATTCATTGCCCTTATATCTCACATCGATGCGATAATTTTAACGAGCAACACCATTACGTGCCTTGTGAAAAGGATGTACGATGAAAGAATCTCGGCACCACAATTTGGCCACGGCGCACGGGCGCTTGATCACTATTGCATTGTGACACTTGTTATAAGCATATTCTTAGTAATTGATAGACGAAGGATATCGATCCTATCTTTCCCTACGAAAGTTCGATCGATGCTTTCGAGAGTTCTGTATGAAAATCGAACGAAACGTTCGCCGGTTTATCATGAGCGCGATACAAAATTTTTCATGTTGTAATTTGACAAACGTATTTCATGACATCCGACATCTCGTCTAACGCGTTCCACGCGTGAAATTCCGTTTACACGGCACAATGTCTCTGCTTCAGGTAGAACAGCAGTCGTGGGATGAGGATCGCATGGAGCAGCGTAGCATAGAGGAAACGAACTCGGAAGAATCGTCGACGAAGTTGTTGATCGTGGGCAATAAAGAGTACGTACCGATAACTGGTTCGTCGTCACAATCACCAATCACAATTTTACCGTCGAGCGAGGCAAATCAGAGCAGTCATAGCGTAGACGTGAGTCTGCGACCTCCGCCACCGCTCAAAGCAGCTCAAATCAGAAGTCGTGGGCAGTCTCTGTTGAAGAACACTCCTATCACGATGCATTTCACTACCCCTAGTGGTGGTGGCGCGGTCTCCATATCTCCAGCGATGGATGAGAGTAAACGCACTCAGTGGAAATGTAAACGTTGTAATTATCGAGATACTAACAAAAATAACGTGTTGTTACATGTTAAATCTCATTACGAATCTGCTGATCACGAGTCTATCGAAGAAAGGGTAAGTTCCGTATCGTAAAATATAACTTCTTGCGATTTTTTAGTGGTCGAAGTTGTCGCGCTTATACGCGAATAAAGGCCGGTTTTCACATGCAATGATTGGTGGCGCCAGGCCGCGCCAGTCGACTAACGCCAGTAAAATAATAAATGTTAAATATTTTTCATATTATACGCCAATTACTGTGTAAATACTTGTGAGTTTGCTAGTCGGTTCTGGCGCCAATGAATGCCAGTCAGTTGGCGCCACTAATCATTGCGTGTGAAAACCGGGCTTAAGAGTTTAAATGAGAAATGCTACGAAAAACAGAAATAATATCTTAGTAAAAATAGTTAAATATATTATAGCGCGAGCAATTTAGACTTAAAAATATAGTAAAAGTTCCACGAACTGTCCGTCCGACAGCTGTTACCACGATTGTAAGAAGTTGATATAGAATAATGTGAGATCTTTCTTTTGCTTTTAAATTTTGTATCCGAGTAACTAACTCATTCTAATTTGATGCACTACTTCATCTTTCGCAGAATCCATTTGGTTGTGGGGATTGTCCGTTTTCAGCATCGGATGCTGCCACTCTGTCTCTTCACAGGATGCACCATCGGCCGAACTTAGAAGCTATATTTAAATGCTATCTTTGTCCATACTACGTTAGTACAAAGGCGTATGTGTCGCTGGTAACTTGCTTTATTAACATGAATGCTCCGTTTTTTTTTTTTTTTTTTTTTTTATGTATGACTTAACCCTAAAATATCAATTATTTTCTTTTGTGACATTAAGAGATACGTGCTAATTTTCTAATTTTTATCAATAATAAAAGATTGCGATGTTATGACATTTATATTTATAATAAACATATCCGTGTTGTATGATATCGTATATATAAGCAATGGTGTGACACAACATGCAATACAGCTGCTCTATTCGTTGTGTTACAGAGAACTGTTGGAGCACGCTAGGCTCCACGGGGAAGAGCTGGCAGCTATGCATCAGCATAATATAGATCTCCAGTTTTCAAATTCCAAGAATCAATCGCAACAAGTATCAATTTCCGAAAGCGGTAAGTTTTACAAGTTGCACAATGCACCGAATGTACATTCGTCTGTTCGTACGATTTGTATAATTCTTACAATTCGTACACTGGGCATTTGTTGTAATCTAAACGTTTGTTACAGGTGTTTCTCAAACGAAGGACGAATCGTCTATAGAACAAGTGATTCAGATAACGTCGCGCAGCAACGTAACGGCGTCTTCAAAAATCGCGGGAGCCCAGCCACAACCACCCCCACCACCGTCGCTACTCCTGGACACTCGTGCCTTTTCAGACGCTCCGCTGGTTTGGGTATCGCGGCTAGATGGCACCCTGACGAAGATGCTCAAGTGTCGCCATTGTCCGTATGTTTCGTCGCGACGTGCGGAAGTTCGCGACCACGAGACAATGCATGTAGACATGCCAACTCACGGTCCCTTGATCGCCTGCACGGATTGTAGCTTCACTTGCTCGCGTCGTGAGGTCATGATCGCGCATACAGAAATGCATTCGGGATCTCTTGGGACTGTTCACTGTCTCGTCGATGAGACCCGACCTGATGCCCAACAGGTGAGCGATCTGGCCACTTTACTTGGCATGGCGCACACTCCCGTGCTGGGCACCGAGCCCGATCTGCAGGACTCGCGTCTGGTGCATTGCTGTGGCAAGTGCCCGGCACGGTTTCTGTGCGAAAAAGAGCTGCGTATCCACTTGCGTTACCACACCACCGAACTGGCGTATTCATGCCAATGGTGTTCGTATGCAGCGCGCCAGCCGGCGCATCTATTGGCTCATCAAAAGGCGCACTCGACGGAGTATCAGGAGCGCACCAAGTATCTGTTGTCCCTGTACGGCCACTCGCAGCGTTATCCACCGCCCGCAACAGCGTGCGTCGAGGCGGAGAATCGGGAAGACAATGACAGCGTGCCGAACGTCGCGTGGATCGTCGTTGAAATCAACGAGAACGCGAATGCCTCGTACAACAGTATCAACGGCACGATCGTTCAGAGGCCCGGGGGTCAGGTATTCACGTGCTCCAAGTGTCCGGCTCGTTACTTTAAACTGGATGCTTTGGAATACCATATGACGCTTCACGGTTCAAACAATCGGTTCAAGTGCAATGACTGCGATTATTCGTCGAAAACGGCACAAAATCTAATGAAACATCAAGCGGTGCATCGGCGGCATACCGAAACCACCGAAGTGACCGCGGAGGTACCGTCTACCATCACTACTACCACCACCGCCGACTCTGCTCCGACGTCCTCTCCCGGGTCGCCACAGCAGTCGTCACCGGATCCGCAATTCGGTATCTTTATGCGCGGCAATCCAAACTTCGTTTATCCTGGTTACCTAAGGAACGGCCGTCTGAAGGAAAAGCGCTACAAGTGTCACAAATGTCCGTCCGCTTTTGAAAAGCGCGAGCAATATAGAGTTCATTTAACCCTGCACGGTGCGAAACAACGTTATCGCTGCGACACGTGCGACTACTCGGTCAAATACTACGCGAATTATGTACAGCATCTGAAGAAACACCAGGCGAACGCGGAAGCGCAGGCATCGCGCAGACAGTTCGAGGACGATCGGATCTCGGTCGATAACGACAGCATCACCGACATAGTTGCGTCAAAATCGTCGCGCAAGTCCTTGCGATCGTCTGCCACTGCTGTTAACATGCTCGCGGTATTGTCTTCCGTTAACAATGCGTCGAATGTCAATAACAACGCCGCGATACAACCCTCTAATCAGGACAAGCAGAGTTTTTTGTTGATGCAAAAGAAGGGCATTATTTCGTCGACGGGCGAGGCCGACGCGGAGACGATACGCTGCCAGAGTTGCCCGTTCTCCACCACCGACAAGGACGTCATGGACGCGCACAAGCGTCGTCACGGCATCGAGCGCATGACGCCGCCGTGCCCGCATTGCGACTACATTCCGCGGAAAGACGAGAATATCGGTGAGCACATCAAGCTACACTTCACGAGGCTGTACAAGCCCGAGTCCTATCTCATCGTCGAGCTGCTAACGCTGACAATGGAGAAGGTATCCGCGAACAGCAAGAACGAAAAGGGTCAGCGGTTGAAGGAGCTATTGTTCAAGGAATGCGCCGACGGTAGATTCGTGCCACTCGCCGAATCGATCAACTCTCTTTCCTTAGGTACCTCTTCTACAATAAAGTCTGTCAAGGAGAAGGTCACCGTAGATCCAAACACGGGCGAGACCAAACATCATCGTGTTGCCACGTAAATCGAACCTTTATCTAGCGATCGCAATCGCGCGATTATCCACGTGTTTATATGCCTTTTTCTATTTACGATGCTGGTTCGAAATTGGTAGGCGATATAGTTGACTTCGCGAATAGATTATTATTATTATAGATTAGTGCGCATTGTAAAAATCAGCGATCTTATTTTTGTTTATAGTTAACGAATGTTACATCAGAATTTATTGCACGTCTTATTTCTATAAGATTAAATAAAAGCGTATATACATATAAAGATTCGCGTTTTTCGACGACAATGTACACGCAGCGCTCTTTATCCAATTACGTTTGTTTCTAATTTTTTTGTATTTTATTATTGATTAGGATATTGTTCAGTAACTTCGAATGTATTTGTGAGCATACTTTATGCGAAGTTAATACATTTGTACGCCATATTTTGTTAACATGTTGGCTAACAATGGGCAGAAGATACATTGAATCACTTCTAAAATATGATGCAAATTCTAAGTGGTTTCTATATTATTGAAAATTAAAAAATAATTGCAAATCTGTAATATTTTAAAATGTTTAGAAATCTCAAGAGTGATTAACATTTGAGTTTTTAAAGTTTTGAATATACTTTGAAAGTCAATGATGATTTATCGTTCTGATTGACTTTTTATAAAGGTATATATATAAACTTTCAGAAATTTCCACTTGATATATATTTTAACCCTCTGTCTGTATACGTGGGTCTGTGGCGTTCGAGCCAAAATGATATCTGCGATCGTAATTGTAAAACTTGCAAGCCTGCCAGAAAATATTAAATAAACGATCATTGTCAAAATGACTATAAAATTGTCAATTGCAATATGTAGACAGAGATGTTTTGTAAATTTTTTTCAGATTTTTCTAAATACTGGAAAAATAGCGTTAAACGTGACAGACCCACGTATACACTCGCCACAGTGCAAAAAAAAAAAAAACAGACGGAGAGTTAATGCAATTCGAATACATATATGCAAAACAATTTAAAGCAGTTTGGTTATATGTATTCGAAGCTGCAGTTGAAAATACTTTCGGACATATGTATGTATATTTGAAGCAATACGAATCTTTAGTGATTAAAATGTTAGAAAATTTTTAAAGAGAATTGGATGCCCATCTATAACAATGGCTATTAGGTAACGCATGACACGACCGTTATTGTAAATATTTATTTGAAGCCTTATCGGTCTTGTACAATACATGATAATAAATGCTCATACTGTATATACATATTTATTGTTGTTTCATCTAAAAATATATTTCATGCATTATATTTGCAAGACTTTGACATATTTTGCAAACTTTTGCCGAGCTTTGCCGAATTAAAATTTCCTATTTCCTTATATGTGTTATGTACAAATAAAAGAAGATAAAGTATTAAAACATGTATTGATCAGCCGAATCAGAAAAATAATTCTGTTTTAATATATTCATGTTATATAAGTCAATTATTTTGTAATTCCAGTTTCAACATTATAATCTAACAATTTTTCCTTCGAGTGCAGATAATGGGAGTAGGTGCAAAGAATGTGGTCCCGGTGGTCCCTTTAAATCTACACACACATAATTTTTCCAATCATATAGGCTGGATTCGGGGAGCGCGCTATTAGCGCTATTTGCTTGTTCTATCCTTGTTTTACACCTGATGAGCGATAAAGACAGAATGATGCAATAGCGCTAATAGCGCGCTCCTCGAATGCAGCCATAATAACGTGTAACATTACGATTCTAATTTCTATATACATATATGTGTATCTTTGTTTTTCCCTTATTTTTTCTCTATCAAATTCTAAGGATGACTGATCAAACCCCGATTAATTTTTGGGATAATTAACTTATATCAAGTGTATTAATACCTATACCTACTATTATGTCACTATAACAAAAAATCATTTTTTACATAATTTAAAACATGAAAAAGAAAATTACAGGATTACAAATAATATAGTTTAAAATTTAACTTTTTAACTTTTATGCGATATAGTTGGATTTACTTATGTTCGTTCCTAGTTCTAAGAATTTAGACAAAAACAGATTAAAGTTAACCTGCATTGACAGCTTGATCATCGATCAAGTTAATCGGAATTTTGGGGGAAAGTGCTTCGAACTCCGAGCACGTACTACGTATCCATTTTCCTTCATCAGGGGGTTTTTTCAAGTTCCTCGGGTGAGGAGGTTAGGTGCCTTGTACGCTACTTTTCCTTCCTCACGTGCAAAAGGGGTTAACCTAAGAGGTGTAGAGTGAGCGCAGAGACCGCGGAGCACTGGAGCAGACGGTTGTTCACTGACGGGGATGTCGTGGGTGTTGCGTCTTGCCCTTGCGTCGCGCAGCGGCGAGACCGAGACTCGAGATCAATAATAAGGATTGCAGCGGCGCGGCGTCGCGCATGACTGAATTATTTTGCGAATTGCAACAATCCCGAGGAGGTTATGACGACGACCGGGGCCCATGGTCGATCCCATATGATTCCGTCGTCTGACTCGCGGGACGGATAGAGAAAGCGCGGCAGCCGGTGTTCACGGTCCTCGAAGGCAGACGACGACGACGGCGACGATGTTCGAGGGGGCTATAGCGGCATTTTTGAACCGCCTGCTGGGCAGGTACGTGGAGGACCTGGACACGGAGCAATTCAACGTCGGTATTTTCTCCGGGGATACGTGCCTCACCGACCTGAAACTGAAACCGGAGGCTCTGGTACGGTCTCTGTTTGTTTTTTGTTTTTTTCCTAATAATTCAGAGGCAATAAAAATAATTAAAAATATAATTGAATATGTATATGTACATCCCTGACGCGTTTGTCTTTGCAGTATCAATTGGGATTACCTATTAGAGTAGAGATCGGCTTGATAGGAAAAATTATTTTGAAAATACCATGGTCTGGACTCTTCTCGCAACCCATTGTGATATGCATAGAGGTACTGAACAATCTATATATCGCAATAATAAAATAATATAATATATTGTGTTAAATATATAATAGATAATATAAACTAGAATTATATTGTGTATTAAAGTATAAATGACAAAGGTTTCTTTGTCTTCTTAAGGATGTATACGCAGTAGCAGTACCTGCATTATCCGGTCCATACGACCCGGAGATACAGAAACGTTTGATGAGAGCGGAAAAGAAGAAGATACTTGAGGATCTTAAGGAAGATGAAATATTTAGAGCTGGTAGTTAAATATTTTTAATCGCTTATTCATAAAATGCCTTATTTAGAAATTTATTTCACTTGTATTAAGATTTGATTAGTGTCTATATATCTCGTCTACATATTAAGTTCATATATAAGAAAAAGAGAGAGAAAAAATTATCAAAATTTTGTAACTGTAATCAGTAATAAATAGTAAATAGCTTTTCAGTTTGATGTGTATTTAATTGTAAGTTAATCTATATAATTTTTCTTTTATAGGTCTACCTCCCCAACTATTCGATGGTCTATTGGCGTCAGTCACGAAGAACTTTCAGATTACTATAAATAATGTACATATTAGATATGAAGAGAAAATATTGCGCAACTTCCTCTGTGCCTGTGGTATATGTATACAAAGTATATCCATAACGACTACCAACAAGTAATTTGATAATGCATATTTTCACGTTTCTTTCGGTTGTGTGTGCCTATCCATTATCATATAAGAATTGATAAATTCCAGCAAATGGAAGCCCGGGGTGTGTGCTACAAATTCGCAAACGGTGTACCAGCTTATACGCGCGGAATCGCTCAGTGTGTACATGGATCACGACACTGAATCCTGTATAAATGTCCAGGGTAATTGGGACTTGTCCACTTTGCTCGCATGGAAGATCACGATGCATCGAGCCCTGCAGACATTCGGAATGAAGAACAAGGAGTTTCAGTTTTGTATGTTTGAGATATTATTTGTCGATGACGGAGTATCGGTATCTTGTGTTCGAAATAAATATTATTTCAAGTTCCATCTTGATTTTAACGAACATCTTTTTTTTCACAAGTGTTGAAGCCCTTCACGGCCAAGATTAAAGTCATCATACACAAGGGTACAGAAACGCAAGCTTCACGTATGTTAGTCGATATTGTACTGCAGGATGTAGCGATGCAATTATCCGAAGCGCAATACGCCACGTTTTGTCATATTTATGACTCTTTGTTACGTGCTACTATTAACAGGTGAATTTGTGCAACGCCTAATATTCTTTCATTTATTTTAATGACATATTTTTAATAAATAATGACGAAACTAGTGATAAAAAATTAACGATGTCTACAGGCCACATGCTAAATATCGTCCTGAGAAAAGCGTATATGAGGAACCGTCGTCTTGGTGGAAATATGCGTATAATTTTGTTTTGAATCACTATATTAAGCCGTATACTTGGTCGCATATAGCCAATCACAGAAAAAATTATAGAAAATACAAAGAGGCGTGCATCCAAAGTTTGCAACGACCAAACGATACAGAGTTGAAGCTGGATATGCAAAAACACGAAGACAACTTGACAATATTAAATATCGTAATTGCGAGAGAGCACGCTAGACAGGAATTGAGAAATAAGGATATTGAGCGAGAGTGCCAAATCACAACAATGAGCCCATCGGAAGATGTCAATGCAGAAACTGTATTACCGGATAACGATCAAGCACAAAATATAACAAATCAATGCAACAAGGGTGAACATCAAAACTCATTGCCCGGTGTAACAGAAAATTCATCTGTTTCAAAGATAAAGTCGGGAAAGACGCTAAAACAGATTGGTAAGCACATTTAGATCATTCTCTTTTTTATATAATATACCAATTAATAGAAAATTGTTATAAGAAATACTTGAGAAAAATCTATCTGGTGAATCTTTTGGTTTGTTTGCAGATTACAAGTTAAACTTTACTTTGGCAAATTGCTGTCTGAGCCTCTTAAGCAAAGGCAAAGAAATGTTGATCGTAACCGTCACACAATTTCTGACAAGTATTGAGGCACGGCCTACGTTATTAGCTTTCAAGATATCTGTTCGTGCTGAAAGCTTCGTAGTTGAAGCTATATCAACTGATGGCGATTTGGTTCCTCTGATTACAGTGGATAATGTGTTAACAGGTAATGCGCCTATTTATCTCTGTAAGCGATTTATAAACTCTATTGCAGAGGTACTGATTGTAATTATTATGTGTGACAGGGAATGTGTCCACATATTTTTTGGCGATAGACTTTGAGAAAAATGGATTGAATATGGATCCTATTTTTGAAGTAGCCGTAAAGCTGGAAGCTATCGAAGTGACTTATCATCATGTAATAATGCTTTTATATATTTCTTTAAATAATATTTTGTCTATAGTTTCTGTAAACCTGACTTAAATTGCTTTTCAGTTTGCCATAGTGGAAATTATAAATTTTTTCAAATTTAACACTAATTACCTTCACGATACGATTCGCGGGATATACAGACTGTGGGACTGCGTCAGAAGAAGATATTTGAACTTTGTGGACGACATCGTCTCGCAGACATTGAGAATCAGCTTCAAAATAGATATAAAAAGTCCTTATATTATATTTCCCGAACACGGATCAATTCAAAAGTACGTTTACTACATACGATTGTAGGACTAGAAAAGAGAGAGTGCACACAAATATTGTTTTATATATTATGTTTACATTTTTTTTTGTAGAGGAGGGCATATACTCGTTCTGGATCTCGGTAATATAACGCTGACCAACGAGCTTCAAGCAACGAATTTGCAATTGGAAGATGCCACTCTTATGGAGCTAGAAGAATTACTCTACGACAGACTCAATATGGTGTTCTCCGGCGCGCAAATTTTATTTTGTCATTCAGGCGACGATTGGCGGTCGGTGAGGAAACGGAGTGACTCGGAATATCATTTGTTACCTAAGCTGCAAGCAAATGTGACTATTTCATACAGTATTAGACCCGAATATCGTCAACTACCACGGTAATATGCCACCTAATTGCGCCACAATCCTCTGTTCATACATTGTTTCAACGTACAATATTCCACAGGACAAAACTCAATGTACACATTTCAAACGTGAAATTGAATCTATCGGAAAGTAAACTACGACTATTGACATATTTTTTGAATAAATTGCTAGTAGTATACGAAAACAACATTGAGAAGTATAAAGCTACCTTAAAAAATTCGATTTCCGGACGAAAGTCGAGTATTATTTTTATTTCAACGAAAGAATTGATGAAAGTACAATCCAGTGTATGCTTGCCATCTGTCACAATGACGCATAGTGATTTTAAATCTGTCATTAAGGAAGTTGTAACTAATAATGTACCAAAGCTTGATAGGTAATGATTTTATATATCATTTAGATATTTAAATATTCTATGCATTTCGATAAAATAATTCCAATTTTTTAATAGGAGTGTCGTCTCTTCGGAAGTTAGTGAAGAGGACTTGGAATTATTATCTAAAACGATTAACTTGTCCGGATTTGATGATAATATATCTCCGTGCAATCACATTAATTTGTTACTTCGATTTGCCATAGGAGAGGTAAATATAGTTTCATTAAACATTCATATTTTATCCTATGAAGAGACGTGTGTCATTAATATTGATTCGAAATTTAGTTCTCCGTAAATCTGGAAGATATGACAGATAGCCGAGAACAGCCTTACTTAAATTTGAGATTGCACACTTTGTATTACGAAACGGCTGTAATGGAATACGGTGTTGCTGTTCAGTTTGGCATTGGATCAATTTTTCTGGTTGATAAGACAAACGCTGGCGTTACCGGATCGTATCTGGAACTGATATCCACTGACGAATCCTACGAAGTCCTCGTTGTGTCGTATCGTAAGGTAATTTATGAAGATTTACGGTGCCCTAATTCGTAAATATTCATCGATTTTCTCTTCAGGTTAAATCAAATTGTCCCGATTTCAAGTCGCACTTCAAAAATATCGAACGCTCGTTGGTCGTAAATCTGCTGAATATCAACGTAAACTTTCACAGATCCGCATTGTTGAAAATGAAAGATTATTGGCATAAATTTAAAGCGTAAGTGAGACAATTTTTATACGAGAAAAAATTAATCGTTTTAGATATTGTATAAAAACACCAATTCTTTAATTTTAGCGTGTGTCACGATACTCTCTTATTCAAGTACGCCGAGAAGACGTGCAGTAATATTATGAAATGGGAACAGAGGAACACTGATCCACCCATCCCACCGGGTACAAATATATGCTCTAAATATAAAAAGTATTTTTAAATACAAAGGTAACATGAATTATAATTTTACATTTTATTACTTTTTCAGGCGCAATTAAACTGAATTATTCAACCAGACTCAGCTCATTAGTAGTGCGATTCTGCGATAAGGATATAGATTTAATGGAAATTAAGATTCTGGGCTTGGAAAACGATTGTATCTACAATGCGAACGAGAGAATGGTGTTACGTGCACATCTCAGGAGCATACTCGCTGAAGATTTGATTGATGATACGCTTTACTCCAAAGTAATTGCCTTGAGTAACATATACAATCTTTTTTTACTGCATAACATGCATACGTATTATATACATACAAATATATACATATATCTTTTTCAATTTTATTTAAAGATTTTGACGACCGACGAAGATAAGGTTTTTGACCTGAAATACGTGAGACATACACCAAGATTATACAAGTGCTCGGATATCGATACAAATCAAGATGATGTGATGTCAGATGGCACTTTCAAGCTTTCCATTGGACGAATAAATTGTGTGATCATTTCTAAAATTCTCTATGATTTACGGGTATGGTATATTTATTATTTATACACTCGATATTTATGGATATAAATGCTATCGATACTTATTTTAGCTGTCTTTACAGAATTTCATAATACCGTTTACTTCCACGTATTACACTCGTTTCTTATATTACTTGAAAAATAAATTCGTTGGAGGGATTGAACTGTTTAAGAAGAGTGCGACAAAACTGCACATTTTTATCGACATACAAGGGCCTACTTTTTTATTGCCACAAAAGAAAGATGCCCCAAGTCTCCTGGTGTTTGATACAGGTGAAAAATTGTACTCGAAGCAAACACAGGTTGCAAATTGAGAGGAAATTCTTTTAATTTTATTAAAAAATATATTTTCAGGTATATTATCGGTTGAAAACTTTTTTAAGAACAGTGGGCAGTCAGTACAATCGAACAAAATGACCGCTAGCGATAGCAATCCATTGATAATTGACAACATTTTGGTAAAATTGAAATCCATGACTGTGTCTAGAGCCATTATGACTCTAACTCGAGATCTAGAAGTCCAGGTAAAATCAGACATTTCAATTGATTTGGTTGCTATGGCAGATTGTTAAAATTGAAATAATATCACATAGATATAATTTCAGGAACCCATTATCGAACCTATACAAATTCAGTTGGATATCAAGAGAAAAACAGAATACCGTAGCATTATTGAACTTCAAACTTATGGTTTATTCAACATGCAAGGAGCTATTGATGTCGTAAATATAAACTTAAGTCAGAGGGATCTCAAATCTCTCATATCAGTGTGGCAAGATAACATTTCTAAAATACCGTTGCTTAAGAAAATCGATGAGACCGAAGATAGAATTTCAGCGCAAGATTCTCAAAAGAATGCCAATCACGACGACGATGTTATGGTAAAGAAACTGGAAAACTTCTTAACGCACAATGAAACAGCACTGTGCGAAGTTAACATAAAACTTGCGTTGGAGGGATTGCAATTAAATTTATTTATGGATACAGAGGAGGTACATATTTTAATTCCCGCTTAAATATTAATGTAGATTTTTATTTATGTATGTATTATTTTTATTACGTTGTATTGCAGGTGTTGAGTTCTCCTGTGCGCGATTTAAATCACGGTTTGTGTAAGCTGAGTTTCGGAGAAACTATAAACACTTGGGATTTTTATAGCGACAAGAGTTTGAAAATGAAATTGTCTTTGCAAAGCTGTTTATTGCACGACACTCGCAAGGACTCGGTCGTTGAGAAGAGGTATTGTGTCCCTTAATCATGTATACCGCTGAGAGTTAGAGCGATAGAATGTTAATGCTATCGAGAATCATAATCTAATTTTTCGTTTTAGGATAATACAATCGCCGGCAACATCCTTAGAGAAGAACTTGGAGTTCTGTATTTCTGTGTCGATGTCTCCTATAGTCGACGTCACATACAGTCGTACTCAAGCAGAGGAAAAGTGTTTCGACGTTCTTATTCAGGACATACGAATTAATTTGTCTGTGCCTTTCTTGATGCACTTGGGACGTTATTTTCTAGATTCCTTACCCGGCGAACAGATAGAGAAAGGAATTATCAACCACGGATATGATAATAATAACCAGACGGTAAATACAAATCTATTCAAATAATTAGTTCATTAAGAGAAGATTTTTAATATTCTATATTAAAGCACTCTTTCCTTTACATACATCTCTATCTTATCCTTAAAAATATTTTATAAATATTAATAATCGAATTAATTTTTCAAATCTATTTGATTTCAATCAAGAACCGGAATGCTTTAAACGCAGAAATTGACAAATTAAATCGCTCCCAATATTTTAAGGAGCAACCAGGTAGTTTCTCTATGTGCATGCATATGTTGTATATAAAAATCGTTCTTCTATTTAGTAGCAATATTATATGTAAAACTCTGTACAATCTTAAATGGAGAAAACAAAATGAATAATTCTAATGTTTAGGTACTTCTATATCAATTCGAATACAAAAACCAGATATCTTTCTATTCGGCGACTTGGAGAAGAGTAGCACGCACGTGATACGAATGCAAGCGGAAGTGTTTATCGAAAGTAGTAGACATAGCCGGTCCTCTTCGATAGTCTGCACTCTGACTAACGTCAATGCCAAGACTAAAGGACAAGGGAATTACGAGTCACCGTGTTGGTTGTTACGTCCCTGTGATGTAGAAATTTGTAAAAAGAAGTTGTCTTGCGGTAATGAGGAAATTACCGTTGCTATAAATGGTATTAATATACATCTATCGGCGGAAGTAATACATACTTTTATCGACGTAAGTATTATGTAACTTAAACTGGATCTGAAATATGTAATTTTTAATTACGAAATCTAGAGGCTAAAACAAAGACTGAATTTATTTCTTAAAGTATTGAAACAGTTAAAAATCACATTATACTGCTAAATATATAAACTATATTTGAATTGATTATGTTATATATTATTTATATCTATATTGTAGATATTAAATGAAGCATCGACTTTCTTGAATAGTATTAATTCGAAACCAGACGACGGCAGTAATCAGAATGCAAATGCGCATAATAATCTTTGGACCCCAAGAAAAGTTTCTAGTATACCGTACAAGAAAACCGACGAAGGTAAATCACACATCTCACATACGTCGCAGACGTATTCTATTTGAATTTTATCAACTGTTTATGTCCATTTAAACACCAATTTATATTTTTATTGTATGCATTATTTAGGCGAAACGGAATTGTATCGTCGTCGACGCGATCATGTAACATTTAATTTGAGACCCGTGTTAATATGTTTATTGCTGGAAATGGAAAACGCCGTAGGAAGATTTCCAGTAATGAAAATGGAGACTGTCATCACCGCTACCGTTAATGATTGGCGTAATAATTTTCACTTCGAATCTAATGTAAAACTTCACGCATTCTGCTACAATAGGGCTCGCCAGAATTGGGAGCCATTTGTCGAGTTTTACACGAAAGACGACGCAAACTATAAACCATGGGAATTCACTATCAAGGTTACTAAATATTATCGTACCGCACTGTATATATGCATTTAATTATTTATTAACGTAGTTTTGAACCGTCCGCAATTTAATTTCTTCAGATATATCGAGGCGAAGCGAATCTGATTAACTCCAATTGGACGGATCCTTGCCATCACATAAAGCAAGATCCGATGAAAGCGAGAAAGAGATACGCGCAATATAATGGGGAGGAGATGACAGATATGACATTTATTGGACCTGACGCTGATATGATTTCGATCACAAGAACAGGTGAAGTTATTCATCCATCAACTGCATAGAAGTGTTACTTGGTTCATCGAATTTTTTTAAGTAAAAAAATATCTTTTTTTACTAAACAGATCCTGAAACCTACGTGACATATGAGGATGAATCCGACACGGACGATGATGAGAGCGATACGAAATTAACGAGGATTTCGAGTTATCTATTCAATAATAATAGCGACGACGAAGAAAGCGATTCCGACGACTCGAGTACAAACGAAGACGAGGAATTCGAATTGATACTAGACTGCAATCCTGAATGTTGTACGTAAATTCGGAGTCTCGTGCGAACGTATTAAATCTTAACTGATGATGTTAATGTTTTAATATATCGTACTTTTTTTGCATAGATAATCCCGTCGCGCGTCCGTCGACGAAAACGACTCTCACCGCGCCGTACATCATTCTATGTTCGGAGGAGAAAATTAATATTACCATAACGCAAGACATGATCGCAACGTGGAACGCAATGTCGAACGCGTTCACGCAGGCGAGGGTTGGAATCCCGTTTGTGCCCACTAACGCGCGGGAATTGACCGTGCTGAACGACATAGGTCATGCGAGTCGAGTGGAGCTGCTTGTCCAAGAGCAGGTGGACGGGAACAGTGACACGCGCGTCGTAGCCGCGTACAGTTTTCACGACGGTAGCTCGCCGGTCAGTGTACCCAGCAGTCCTGAGAACGAACAGACGGATCTCACGAGTCCGCAGTGGGCCGGTAAAGAAACCACTCTGATCGTATCGGAGTGTAAATTTTTCCCCATTGACTCGCCAGTCAACATCTACAAATCGATAACCGGCGAACTCCTTCGTGTCGTATTTGAAGGTAACTTTTGCGCAAATATACCCCAAAAGTCATAAATACACAGATACAAATCAGTCTTCTATGCTCAACGCAGGTTTCGAAGACGTGTTGGTGTACTGCCCGAAGAAAGAAACCCGTAATCTCGTATCACTTCGTCCGGTGAGACACGACGTTCGTTACTACCTGGTGATAGAGGCGACGATAAACAGTTATTTACACCGAACGATTTGCGTGCGATCTCCGTTACAGGTAATGCGATCTCTCGCTTATCCGCTCATTTAGCGTCGCTCCTATCTTTCGCTGATCGCGAGATGTGTTTCAGTTTCGAAACGAGACCTCGTATGCGTTGGGACTTTATTACAAGAAAGCGGTGATAGACAAATTGGGCCTGACGCTAACCGGCGAAACCACGAATCCTTTTGATCATAATGTGAGAATGGCGATCATAGAACCTGACGCAACTTATAACATTCCTCTATACATAGCGTATCATTGCCCGATACACATTCTTCCTGCATATCTAGAGTAAGTAAAATCTCAAGTATCACGGCAATGTGTAAACTTGTTTATAAGAGAAATAAGATAATGTGTACGTTATACTAACGGATATATTATCTGTAGGAAGTATCAAGTCAGTGACGAAGGGATTTATTGGAAAGATTTAAGGGGTACAGCAAATGCATTTAAAGACGTGTGCTGCGAGGCGAAAGGCGACAATAATCGTAATGTATTCTGTGTCAGGGTGATATGCACGGAACTCCCGTTAATGACTCGTCCCTCCGGCTGTCAAGTGCCGAATTACTTGATAAATATCGTACCACCTGTTATTTTCAATAATCAATTACCCTTCGTCATCGATGTCGGTATACCTGGCATCAATTACGAGGTGAAAATCGAACCCGGGGAGAAAATTAACATGCACTCTCTGAATCACAGCAATAGCGTACAGTTCGTTTTCAAGGTACGTCTATCTTTCGAAAGAAGCTATAGTCGTACATGAATGTATTTCGCTGCATCGTTTAATTACATACCGTCCTAATAATTGTATATAGGTACACAACTATTTAGGCACGTCTTGGATGGGCGCAGTAAAACTAAATATGAATCTAGAACGCAAGTTCGTGTTGATGTCTGCAGACAGCGAGTCGGACTTAACGAAGCCTTTTTTGCTGTGCTTAGAATTGTGCAAGATTCTCAGTTGGAACATCATTATACAGTCGCAGTATTGGATAATAAATAAGTCTGGCTTGCCGTTGTTTATCCAGGTAAGCCAAACGACGTCGCGGCCTGGTTCCTACGATAACAAATACATGATTTATTAATAACCATTCTTTTTTTAGGATTGCCATTCTCATATAACGTACGAAATGCCGGAAGAGGAGTTAATGGTGTTCTCCCAAAAGAACAATAAAAGGAGCATGGTGCGATTAAGGGCCCATCAATCCGAATGGTCAATGCCATTTGGACTGGACGGGATCACATCGATGTCGTTGATCGTATGTCGCGATATCGAACGCGGACGAAAGTATCAGATCTTAACGGAGATAGAGAGCTCCCGTTTGTCGCCGATTTTCACGAAGATTATAACGTTTCTACCGTACTTCTTTATTTGCAACAAAACTAAGAGGGCCTTGAGGTTCATGGAGGAGAATGAAGAGGCCGATCTTTGGAACGACCTCTTACCCGGGCAAGAGATGTCGTTCTGGCCCGCCACTGAGTCTATGAAGATGAAAATAAAGTGGAGGAACAGCCAATTGGTCTCGCAACACTTCGGTATTACGCATGTGGGTAAAACTGTGCTGAGAATGGATAATGGGGTAAGATAAAAACGCGTGATCGCCTGTTATGGAGAAGTGGTCTTTATGAAAGTCTTTGTTAAAGAAAAATTTCATTTAATTTATGTAACTTAAAAGCTTCTTACAAAAACTTAATAATTCGCAGTCGGCGCTATGTGTGGAGATCGAAGGCGGCGTCAGTGCTCCATACCGCATAATATTTCGGAGATACGTTACCGGCGACATACCTGTGAGAGTGGATAATCTCTGCGACAAATTGTTTCTGAAGCTGAATCAAGTTGATCTAGGCCAAGTAGCGCTGCTCAAACCGTTTCAAAGTTTGCTGTACACTTGGGACGATCCTACTCAGACCAGAGAATTGATCTGGAACGTTTACAATAATAACGCGGCCGGCTACAGAGCGCTATTCGAGACGGTAGTGAAAGAAAATATCTCTATCTCTAACTTAATATACTTTTTCAATTTGCATTCTTTGATCCCCAAGGAAGATTAATTTTTCAATCTAGTTTTTAGAAAAATTTTAATTTCTTTGCGCCGACTTATTGCTTGACATTAACACTTGCATCTGTTTTCAGGACGGCTGCGGGCACGAAAAGGTGTCCTTCGTAACCATCGAACGACGCCACAGCGTGTCTCATTCTTCCGTCACTCCCAAGTCACTGGCGAATACGAAGTCATGGTCGGAGGACACGAGTGGTGTCAATCACGTTCCCAGCGCGGAAACCGAGACGAAGTCGCAAACGTTAGAGGATATGCATCAGGATGAAGCGGAGGTTTACTGGGTGAGCTACATGGAAGGTGAACAACGTGTGCTGCTATTCACGCAGCACAAGAGCGTGTACCTGAAAGCGAGGAGCATTATCGATCCCGAAGCGAGCAAGAGAGAAATATTCTTGTCAATCGCAGCTATCGGAATCAGCGTTGTAAGTGAAGAACGATCCCGCGTATTGCTCGTTATCGTTTCAGATGTGTGATCAAAGATTAATCTGTTCTCTATCGTAGGTTGTACAGGAATCCAATTTGCATAACGCCAGACGGGAGTTGCTGTACGCCAGTGTGATCGACTCCACCGCGCATTGGGAGCTTTACTTCAGCAAACGATGGAGAAATCTGTCGCTGGAGCTGAGCGCCTGGTTAGAAAATAAATACACGAATTCGGTGAAGACGGCGCAGCTCGAGAATTTCATTGACGTACGTCCAATGTCAATCTTTAAAACTATATTGCGAACATGTCATTTATTATGAGAACTTTGAGTTATAGATTCCGCTCGATTTTATAGTAATTAATAAAGTATATAGAGTACTGTGTGTTATCTATTACATAAATACATCTTAAATGATAATAAGTATTAAATATATAGACCATGTCTTGTTAGTTCAGAAAGGAATCATATTTCTATGTATTGTACACTATGATTATTTTTTTGCGTATAGCACAACAAAAACACGTCTCTAACAGACTTTTCCAAATCTTTTGCAGGTTGACTTCACAAAAATGCAGATGACCAAACCGTTCTTCGGCAAATTACGAAGGACGTATTCGCCAGGTATCTGGTTGCATTGCAGGGAATCCACGACGCTTTGTTATTTGCAAGGATATGTTCACAGGATACAGGTATACGAGTAATACATATGCATATATGCATACGTTTATATGTATATATATATATTAAATTTCTCCGTCTTGCAGATCGATAATCAATTGAGCGAAACTACCTTTCCGGTAGTTCTGTATCCCAACTTGCAAAAGACTTTTGTGAATTATGCTGGAAGCCGCAGATTGAAACATTGCTTGGAGTTCTCGTATCTGAAACAACGCAAATTAAGGAGCATTATTTACAAGTGCGTGTGCACAAATTTATGACATTATCGCTTGTTAACGGATATTTTTCATGATAATTTTCGAACGACATTTTTCCAGAGGGGTATGTGTCATCGTCAGGGAGTTTAATTTGAATCTAGAAGAGGCCTTTCTCTGCTCCTTGATCAATTTGGTACCCAAGACACCGGAAACTAAACACTCGATCGCCGCGAAACTCAGGAGAGATGTGTCTAATATGCGCGTTCCTTCGCTTCGCAAAATTGATAATGTAATGCCTAATCTCGTATGCAATCTCGTAGGCACATAATAAATGCATGGACTTTGATTGATTTACACGTATGAATCGCAGGACATAAACAGCAAGAGCAGGCATTTAATAGAGCAGATATACATCTCCCCGATGGTATTGCGCTTGAAATTATTGGCCAACCCGGATGGATTTAACGCGCGTAACTTCAGCAATGTGGACGGTTATAACAATGTTCTTCGATTTATTTTCGAGTATGCAGAGAAGGGTACGTTTGAGAGGGACGTTGAATTCAGGTGAGCTAATTGATTATAATTTGATATAACTAGAAGGCGCGCGGTAGTAAATTTCATGATTTTGTTTGCTTGTTTAGATTGCTCGATTATCGAAAGAGTTTCATTGCCGTGAACAGGGAGCGATTCCTCTCGCATCTTTCGCGCGTTTATGTCGCGCAGATTATGGAACAGTTTCACGTGTTGGTGCGCTTAACTACCGTCCTGGGAAATCAGTATGGCTACAACTTTAAGTCATCAGGGAGCAATTTCTGCGAGTCGGATTTGGTAAGCAAGCAAAAACGATATACGTCGCGAACGATACATCTTTCGTTTTTATATTGAACACGACGCTAATTTACGGTGAGTTTTTAGTTATTGATGTGCGGAGACGAGTCTGCGGAGAGGCTGGCGCACGAGGTCGCATGCGAGCTGGGACATGCTACGCCCGACGGTATGCAAGCCTCATTTTTAAGCGGCCACGACGGTCACACACTTCATTACAAGGTAAACGTACGGCTATAAAGCTGTGCAGAGGAACTAAAAATTTAGCCGCTCCTTAATCGAAAAGCCTAAGTAGCTCGTATCTGTAGCGAGCTTTTAATCTTCGACATTAAAATTCTTCATTTCCATTAAGTAAAGTCGAATAGAAATTGAATCGTCGGCTACAAAGAAAAACTTCAATTTGATAGAAAATTTTGGCTCTTGGTACTTGCCGTTGAAAATACTCATAGGTATTCGTAGAAATATTTTGTGAAAATAGGAACTGAAACCATGTGTTATATTTTGTTTCAGATGAAAGATACGAATTATCGGAATCCAGATGTGCCGCCTTCAGCGTTTTTAGTCGATCATTCGTTCGCTACAGAAATTGATCTGGAGACGTCCGGCTTGATCACTACGTCGACGAACAGTGAGTAAATCGTTGCTGTTCGTAATGTACGAGTGGATGTAAGTGGGATCATACATAATCGTGCTGCGCACATCTGTTGATACGCTCATTGCTGTTTCATTTCCGGCTCCGACGTTTTTATTAAATCTCTTGCAAATGACAGGCATTCATCGAGAAGAATTAAGATATTTCTTCAAAACGTTGGGAAAGAAAACATCTATGCTGTTCAAGGCGGAAAGCTCTTATTCGAATGTAATAACGGACATGATAAAAAGGTATCAGCTCTATCAGCACTTATTTTCTCTCGTCGTGCGTTTAACGGCGTTTATCTTAAAGGCGAATTATCTGTCTTGCAGGGCGCAAGAAGTGGGTCTCGTATCCAGAATGCGATTGCCGCGGTACATTAATCCACATTTCGTGAGTATTGTCGGGACGATGATCCGCGACCTTCCAATCATCTTTATATCATTAACAATCAATATCGTTATTTAGGGTGTGGAGTTGTTCTCGACGCACAAAGCGAAGGGAGCGTACTTGTTGAACGCTATAAGTAAAGGGCATTGCATTCAGAACGATTCTTATTGGGGACACGCTGCGCTCCATAGCGACGGAAAGTACATTACACTCGTATCTTTGCAGTAAGTCTAACAATAATTATTACGAAATGTCTCAGAAACGTCTTTTATCCACAAATCTTACGATCAATTTGAAGGCGAGAGAGGGAGGCTAGCTAAACCCGGAACTTATACAGTATGAGTCGAATTCACTGACGCGTTGTGTTTTAATATTGTCTTTCAATATCGACGGCAAAAAGATCTTACGAATAAAATTATTGTCGCGTTAATTCCCTCTGATCCAGAAATGTAAAAAGAAATGAATCCTCGGATCTTTTTCAGGCGGATATATTACATCGAGAAAGCAAATGCATGGGGATCGTGGAACGTGAAATGGACTTTAGAGACTAATCAGTTGCTGTCACCACCAACCATCGCCAAGAACAAACTTGTTTTGCATATAACAGAGGTAACTATTCCAATCTACCCCCAAAACTGATTTAACACAATCATGATTGTCTAAATACAGAGAATTTAGATTGCTCGAATAATTAATTAAAAATGCGCAACCGCGTTAAACAGATTCAAATTCTAAATTCAACACTAGGATATCAAGAGTAAAAATGACAACATTCTAGAGTTGATCGATCGATGTTCATTAAAGATCGCATTAAATTTATTCCTAGACCGAGGAAGAGACGTCGTCGTCCATGGTAGATTGGTACGTGGAGAGCGAGGCCGCGGACATCCTGGAATGGCTGTGTCGCAAAATGAACAACGCAATGATCCTGAACATGGAGAGCAGCATTTGTTCCAAATGAGAATGTGGAGTTTGTTGACGAGGCCACCGTAAGGAGGAAACAGAAGAGAACAAAGAGGATGAAGAGATCAGTGTATTTACATATTTAGTTCGGCGTAATAAAAGTCTATACGGTGAATGCACAAAAAAAAAGAAAAACGCTATATATATGTCTCTCTAATGCCCTACACTTTTTTATTATTATTATTTATCATTATTATCATTGTATCTTGCCAAAGTCAGATCGCATCTTCGTCTTGGATAAAGTACGTCTAGTTTATTTCATAATTTATTTACAAAAAGTCTTAGTAAATTACACTTACAGGCATCTCCACTCGAACTAAAGTAAATAATTTAAGAGCTACATGTATTTAGATATCTATAGAATAGGATACTTTGGGGTCGGGGAGAAGCTGGGACCAGGGAAAGTGTTCTGTTTAACTTATCTCAACACGCTTCTAAATCGTATGTCTTCGCAAGAATTCGAGTCGTTTTAAACGGCTACACGTCGTATGTGAAAACTAAATCGTCATTCCGTCTCTCTTAAATTCATTCTCTCTACGAAACGAGGAAGTATACCAGTGGAAGGTGTGCGACGACGAGTTCGAATGCGTCTCTCTCTTTCTCTCTATTTCTCTTTTTCTTTTCCTTGCAACTGCTGCGTAAATGTTCGTGAGAGTGGGAGTTTACAATTAGATGTATGTATCATAAGAATCGTCAAAATATGTGCAAGCTGACAATCGGTATTTGTTAGTTTTACCATAACGTATATGCGCGCTTTGAAAAAGCATAAAATCTTGGTTATAAATATATTCCCATTAGAATCGTTTAATGGCACGATCGAGCTTAAATTTAAAAATCCTCTTGTTTTATCTTTTTAATATATTCGTTTCTACATTATCGCCCAGAATCAGTTTCATCTGCATCTACAGTGTTGGTTTTCCTCATCTTCCGCCTGTCCGTTCTTTTTTCTTTATATTTTCTTTTTTTGTTATCACAACGGCGTTTAATTACGTTTATAAATACGTTTATTCCAAAAAGACTGCAGTTAGTTAGATTCGCTACTTTCAAATCTCTTTTCGAAAGGAAGCCATTGAAAAAAGGAAAAAAAAAAAAAAAAGGAAACATTTACTGAACCTTCTAGGAATTCAAATAATTATTGCAAAATTAAACGGTAATTTAAGTGACTACCTAAATTGATCAGTTATAGTTTCGCAAGCTATATTTGTGTATTCTTTCTCTTTTCACAGACACTGTCCCCACCCCTTTTTCTACCGGCACCCCCATCCTCCGTGCATACATACACGCGCAAACACGCAGCACGCATTTTCTCTTCTCTAAAATCCATCTTTTATATCAATACGCGTACATATGGGACCCCCCGTTTGTCGAAGCGCCGTATGCGCGTATCGCACTCGCGCGAACATATCAAACACGCACACAAGTACTTATGGGCGGACATGTGTGCTCTAGGCCCGCTCTACTCTGAATCCCCTCTCTATTCTGGAACAGCTGGTCTCTCCCCTGTAAACTGGAATTCCTCTCTCGCTTCCGTTTAACGCGCCTGGCTTTGCCGCGTTAACCGTACGTAGAATAGGAGAAGCGAATGGGACGAACGCGAAGACCGTATGACGGCGTTCCGCTACTGCAGGAGTAAGAGTATCGAAAGGGGATTCCAGAATGGGGAGGGACAGAGCCCGGCCCGAACGATTTCAGAATAAAGGGAGCTACAGCATCTCCGTCGTCCCGCATTCTATCTCGAAACATTTTTTCTCTCATTCTTTCTCTCCCTTCGCCACCGCTCTTCCCCGTCTTTTTTCCATTCTTTCTCTCCCTCTTCCTCTCGCTGAACCTGTCAAACATATACATACATACATACATAGATACATACATGCATGCACGCAATACACAAATACATAAACATGTACGCACGCATGCACGCTTCCTCGCTCCTTTTCTCTCCCTCTCGCTTTCACGCTCTCTTTCTCTCTGCTACTGTTCCTTCTCAATCAGCGGCTTTATCACACGTATATTATTTTTTTTTCTCTTCTAGCAATGTCTTTCTTCAGTTCTAGTTTCTGCCTGTGCTTCTAAAATCGAGACTTCTCCGCGGCCTTACAGCCGCAAACGTATATTTGCGCCACCGTAGCCGCAGCACGAAAATCGAATAAGATTCAAATGGAAGTGTTATCTACAAAATATCTTAATTACTCGCTAATTACAGCACAAAACATGCAAATATAAAAATTTGCATTATATTATCGTTTAATATTTATATATATCATCCGATATATCATTCCACATCGCACCATTAAGGTTCGCCGACATGATTCTTGGTATATATATTATTATGCAGCTGACCGTTGTCTCTTGAAAGTCCGTTTTCTTTTTTTTACTGCGTATGCATATATTTGTGTGTGTGTTGTGTATGTGTATATATATATATATCATGTGTCCATGTTATATATCGCGGCCGCACGTGCGCGCAAGTATGTGTGTTGCACGTGTGTTTGTATCCGTGTGTCACGTGTCGTGTATATATATTTTGTAAATATGGATATACCGTGTGTGTCCTGCGTGTCAATACGTGTGGTTTCTCTATGTGTATGTGTATACCTTTTTTCCTTTCATTAACTATGAAATATCTTACACTATCGATATTATTCCAATTCATCGAAGGGGAAGGTATACCAACGGGCGGAGATCGCATCGGGTATACCTACACGCTAACACCAATAATTAAACTTTCTTACTTCCTGTTTAATCGATATAAAACTACAACTGCGCTGCCATGGCTTTTCATCAGCACTTTTGTTCCTTCACTCGTGCACTCGTATCACGTCGCGCGCGTGTCTCTCTCTTCTCGCCTCTCGTCACTCTCCAAGTCCCTCCCTCGTCTCTCTTTTCTCCGTCAGATATATATCCGTCTATATCTCCCGCTTTTCACGCCGCACACGCCCGCCTTTTTAAACTACAGCACTACTGCCGTCCGTACGCGACGTCGCACCACCGCGACAACGTCGCTGTGTCGCGTGCGTCTTACTCATCGTCGTCACCGTCGGCACCGTTATTTAACAACATATCCGCGCGAGTCGCGTAATAGTGTCTCGACCGACGACAGAGAGTTACGTGCCCCTCGAACACTGGAACAACACACGCGCGACTATCGCGGCGACCTGCTGATCCAGGATCTGGCTCATCACCAAGGCGAGCAGGCGGGACTCGTGCTGCAGAAGGAGAGTTCGGTTGTCCGGATGCCTGGCGAGGTTGAGTAGCGTGCCGGCCGCGCGCCGCAGCATGTCGAGGCTGGTGCCCATCGACTCGGGATTGTCGCGCAGCGCGGCGAGACCGTGCTGATTGGCGACCCCGAGAGCGCTCGTCTCGGCCTGCTCGATGAACGCGACGAGCAGCGCGACGCAGGGCGTCTGCAGGGCGATGGTGCGCGCGACCCCGCTGTCCGCGGCCGACAGGAAGTGCAGCAGATTCACGCCGAACTCGCGCAGCACCTGTTCCTCGCTGCGACAGAGGAGCCTGGTCAGCACCGAGCATAATCTCTGTAATCGTGAGTACGGCGGCGTCGCCACCACCAGGTCAACGTTGCACTCGGTCACGCATAACTTGCACAGCGCCTCGAGCGCGAGTCTCTGCGGGGACAGGGAGGAGTTCGGGCCGACCGTCGGGAAGGGATCCTGACCGTGCGCGGCCGGGCACACGGCCCAGTGCAGGAGGCCGTCGAGCACCGGCCGCGAGATCTCCTCCGGATGCTGACTCAGGTCCATGTGGCCGGATATGTTAGCGGCCATCACGAGAACGTTCTCCCTCACGTGATGGAGGAAGTCCCACCACCATTCGCCCTCGCCCTGTAGACTGCTACACGAGTCCGCAAAGTCCGCGTCCTCCTCGCGATCGTAATTGCGCGTCTTTTGCGCCCGTATCGGGTGCTCGTGGTGGAGCAGCAACAGCTTGCCGAGTAGACTGAGGAACGTAACGTTCTTCGCGAATTCCGCCTCGTTGCCGGGGATGAAGGTGAGATTCCTCAGGATCGTCGACAGGCACACGCAACGACGGGCCAGGCTGTCCTGCGTTTCCGTCACCAGGTAGAGACTCGCCTCGTCCCTGGAGTAGCTCTCGTCCTCGTAATCGCTTATCCTCCGTCGCTTTAGCGTTCCTGCCGGATCTCTTATGTTTAATCTTGGTCCCTCCTTGTCGTCTCTGGTCGTTTCCAGGTCGTGTTCTTCCGTCGCTTCCGTCTTGATCTCTGTTTTGTCTATGGTGTTGTCGATGTTGCCTGGTGCTGCCGCCGTCGCAGCCGTCGATTCGTTCAATCCATTCTGCGTCGGCAACGAGTCCTCGTCGTTCTTCGACACATCACTGCCAAAGTGCTCGCCCATATTGTTGTTCGCTTTCGTCACTTCGCTGTCGCAATCCTTCTTGAAGCCGTCGTTCTTCTTCTCGAACAGCTCCCTCGTGAGATCGTTCATCTCTACGGGTTCCTTCTTGATCCTCGACAGCACGTCGCTCAGAGTCTTCGTTTTCTTCTTCTTGTCCAGTTGTTGCTGCTGATGCTTGCGCTCGCCACTATCCTTGCTAGATTGCTTGTCGCCGAGTTCGCCGGACTTGTGGGTAAAGTCCAGCGTCTCGTGGACACCACCGACGTTGTCTGCTTTGGCTTCCTCCTTCAGATCCGTGCTGTCGACTTCTTTCTGCAACAGCGGCGGTTTCTCGTCCCTCAGCAAACGGGCGAAAGGCACCGAGCCCACTTCAGATTGAAAACACGTGACGATATATTTGGTCGCGTTTGTGTCGACTTGCCATGGCTCGGTTTCCGACTCGCACTCCTGATGATCCCAAGGCCTCCGCGTGTCCAAAACGAAGAGATCGTCATCCCGAGGGACGATCTTGACGGGGCGACCTCTCCTCGAGAGATACGTATAATTCGATGTCGACAGCAATTTCGTCCGATCCTCCGAATCGATCGGGCGCGTCACCGCGCCGAGATCTACCTCCGGACCGTCTGCGGCCTGGCAATAGCGATCGTCGTCGTTTACACATGATTCGAACATGTCGGAGAGAGAACGCGAGAAGTGCTCCAGCAGAACGTCCAGTAGTCCGGGTAAGTGTGTCAATCCGAAATAACTGACCTGTAAACGAAAGATTTATAAATATTTTTTACACATATACGTATGTTTATTCTGTTACTATACATAACAATATTTTACAAGTTCTTTTATGGAGCTTTTATAATTTTACGTAGCTTTATGTTAATTAGGTCTTAAAAAATATATATATATATATATATATAAATAATCGTATCATGAAAGATTCGTTAATAATTCTTGTATATATCTTTTATTCGTTGTATGTTTCATTTCTTTAATTTTCTATAAATTTCTTCAGTAGTCGTTGATTCTGCCTTTAAAATAATTGCAGTAGCAAAAAAATATACTCACAGAAGAATCATCGAATAACAAAATGTTTAATACGTCGAGGGCCCAGCAGCTCTCGGCGAGTAGACCAGATCTCAAAGCCATCATGATGCGCCAAGCTTCTACTGGTGCCACGTCAGCGCGCGTCAATTTCCGTCGCTTGTACAAAAGAGGTGTAATCGCTTCTACGCTGTCAGGAGGGAATGTCATTTCTCTCTTTGACGTCGGTTGCTGGCTGATCATGGGATTCACTCCGAGTTGAGTCTGCGCAAAATAATACGATGATACCTCGTTTGGCTACAAAACATTTTAATTATAAAATGACATATCGCGAAACAAGTATATGTATATCGTCCGCACAATACGTATGACAAAAAAATTAATTAAAGAATATACTAACAGTATGGGATATGTTGATTGAGAGCAGATATTATAACGTTTGTTAACTTTTTATCATTGGAATCCAACGCTTTCGCGTTGAGTTAAATTACGATTGACTTGCGAAAAGAATGTACCTGATGATTCCCGGGTGTTGGATACAAAGGGGACGGTTGATTCGTGTAGCGATGATCCCACGGTGGAGGTGGGTGCGGTATAGCGTTCAGCGACGGCTGAGATGGGGTCCTGTTCGATTGCTGGCTGGCCCATTGTTGACTACTAGCAATACTGCCAACCGCTGAAGGGGTTGGGGCAGCGGTGACGACTTGGGATCCTTGTTGCGGTTGTTGCTGTGGCGGTTGTTGCGATGGCGACGGCGCCGGTTGGCTTGGGTACTGAACCCTATTGTTTCCACTATTACTATTGTACTGATTAGTTGTATTTGGCCATCCTGCAGCAAGAAATTACATTTCCTTGGGTTAATTGCGATCCAAGTCCTCTCACTTAACTTGCAAAGCTTCTTCAGCAATAATAATATGTGATTATTGACATTAAAGTATCTCACCTGGATACGCCGGTCGTTGTTGATTATACTGGGGATACTGTTGGTCTTTGGCAAAGTCTGGGTGGCGTCTAGGTTGAGTGGGTCCCGGAGGGGGCGGTGGCATGTTCTTGTTAGCCGAGCCACTTCCAGTGTATATTTGAGTTCCACCGGGCGCTCCGTATCCACTCTGCAACGTAATGACAGATATTAAAAGATTGTTAACTTTATTACTTTATGAAAATTTTTAAATCACACAAAACATATTGAGCGATAAAAAATTAAACGAAATTTCTCGCGAACACAGGACAATATAAGATAATATAAAAATATCGAATATTACTTGTTCCTGTCGATAGTAATCTTGCGGACACGAGTATGACGACACAGTCGGCGGTTGTGAGGGCGAGGAAGGCTGACTGGTCGCCGTCTGCTGTTGCACAGCGGCCGGATGAGCCTGCGGTCCCGACGGATAGCTGTTACTCCGCGCGTTAGGAGGTGTTCCTGTGGGATAGCTAGCGGGACCTTGTTGACCACCGGTGTATCTGTACATGTCCTGTCCAGTAGCGTTGTTCGGCGGCATGTTACCACCTGGGTATCCCCTGTACGCGACAAAAATATATGAATGATTTTCTCCGCGAAACATTATAGCGGAATATGACGGTGATATCTCTCACCTGTCGACATCGGGGACGTATGGAGGATAATGCGTTCTAGGCGAGTACGGTTGACTGAACTCTCCCTGCTGAGACAGCGCATTTCCCTGCGGCCGAATGTACTGCTCTTGCGGATAGTTCTGATAGGAACCCGTGTTCTGGTAACTACCCTGTTGTATCCCTACAAACAAAATCGTTCGTCGTAAAATTCTTAACGACGCTCATTGTTGAGATCAAAACAAATGTATGCGATAAGTACGGCATCAACAGATGTAAAAATAAATCTAATGGCACGTACAGTTAAGGGATTGTAAACTGTGAGACGTACCTTGATGGGCGGAGGGTGCGCTGCTTTGACTGGGTGGCCTAGGTGGCGGCGGCGTGTACTCCGACGATGGGCCACCGGGTGTGCCGCTCGCGTAACTACCCTGATAGCTTCCATAACCGTCCATGGAAGCGTTGCTCGATCCAGGAGCGGGAAAGGAGTCTTGAGAATTGGAAGAACCTGCATGAACAAACGGTTCCTTTTCTAGCCGAGAAGAAGTCTCTTGATACAAGAAAGTTTTGTGCAAGCAAACAACAAAATTTCGAAGAGAAATAAAATTATATGTATCTGTAACAGTCCATACCCGGCGATGGTACGGAAGCAGTTCCCTTAGATCCCTTTTTCTTCGAGCCCGCCTCGACCTGATTGATGATGGGTTGCGGATCCACACCCCCGCGATCAAAGTGGCACTCGTATGCCAGCAGATGCTTCGTATAGTGTTTGCGCAATGTGTAAGCAGCGCTACTGCTGGCACCGATGCCCAAGAGGCCGGCTATATCCTTCCACGTTTTGTTTTTCGTCACCTACAGAAGGAAATTATACACACGCGTTCTTTACTACTGCTCGTGAAAGAGCACGTTCACGTCGAATCTCAAACACAGACAAAAAAGATCTGCATGTCCAAAAGAAATAGATAAACGCAATGATACAAAAGGCATCGCCGACGTTCTATAGCCTGAGGTACCAGTCTCAAAAAATTGATTTGATATCGATATGACTCGGCGAAGTCTCTAAACGCATGCAAATATGAAAAAAATAAAAAATAAATAAATAAAAAAAGAACGAGAGAGAAATACACAGAGTACAATCGGAACGAATTACCGTTATTGTAATATTTCGACATTAAAAGTTTATCTTCGCTGTGTGACTATTAGAATAATTCCATATAGCACCAAGGTTTGTAGATCAGGGTGTTTCCATATTCGACTGTTGAACAACTACTTCAAGAAAAGATATGTTAAGCCTTTCTTTTTCTTTCTTTTCCCAATGTTCAGACACAGATTATGAGAAAGGGATACTAATAGCAAAAATAATACAACTATACGTACATCATGCACAATTTAACATAGATGTAAAAACAAAGCGTATTCTGAGGTGTTTCGATACAAGTTATTTCAATTTCAGATCTGGATTTCGATAAATCGTCAAAGTTCTGTCATGTGCTCGATGCAAACTTCAGAAAAACTTTGAGTCATCGAGCACCGATAGCGAGGAGTATTCGACATAAGACACCTCAAAAGTGTACAGTGTGCAGAGCAAGTATAAAGAATGTAAAAATACATAAAAACAATACAAAAACTATGTAAGACACCAAGGGCTAGATGGAACTACACTGCACCTTGCATACCTCCATGAAGCCCCCCCTCTCCTTCACGTAGAGGTAAAGCCGAAATAGATCGAGGGGGTTCTTGGAGATGGTAGGACAACTGGTGATTGGTGATCTTCGCTCTTCCATGAAGTTGACCAGCTTGTCCAGCCAAGTTCTTCGTTCTATCGAGTCGTCCATTTCGTATAACTTTGCCAGACTATCTGTCTTCTGAAAGTCGCACAATTATTACGCTACTTTAGCATACTCTAAAGTATCTCATGTGGAATTTTATTAATATGTAAATTTGCGACAGAAATGTCTCGTCGTGTATTATTGATCTAATTAAAACATAGAACGATTATTATTCTTGCAAAGCTGCGAGAACATAATCCCAATCGTACCCAATCGTGATATAACATGCATAAATATAATGCTGGATCTGGATATTTGTATACTGCTTTTCTCTATTTGGTAAACGTTTTAGTTGATACAGTTGTTAATATATCCTTTATTACGGTTAGTAAAATGTACATTTATATCAAGTAAATCCACAGAGCGTAAACAGAAAATATAGTAATATTCTTAAAGATTTCGAGAACTATTTCTCCACCAATGCACGTTAAAAAATTTCTTATTTAACATTCATTGGACAAACTAAAAAAATGGAATAGAGCAATACGTAATATGCAGCCTAGTAATTTAATGCATGCGGTAATTATTAAGTAAACATTCTGTTGTTATGCAGATAATATGGAGAAACAAAATAGGAGGCAAAACTTATAAAATACCGAGTACAAGAAATAAGCACATCAATATATATAGTCTCGATAAATCATCTTGATAAATCGTCCGCGTAATATCATATTGGAGTTGCTGCAAAATTCATGTAGGACTAATAATCTGTGGTAATATTTGTGGAAATATATCACTATATTATTTAAGCTCATTTTACAATAGCCGTAAGACATAAGCAGTAAAAACTGACCACAGTCGATTATTCTTAAACTGAAAAATCCCATTAATCAATAACTTACTGCTGTCTTACTGCATACTCTTACAGCTATTGTAGACAAGCCTTTATTAAAGCGTGAGTTATATCATAATTCTTTCGCAATTAAAAAAAAAAAGTTAATTATTGTTGCAGTCGTCTGCCCAATAAAAATGTTCCATTAGTAATATCAAAAAATAAATAATATACTCTAAAATATTAATAAGCAAATTAGAAATTAGATTATTAAGAATATATTAAATACATATGTTATATTGAAATACTTAATGCTTTTATGGATACAGGGATATTAATATGATGCATGTGCCAAGCAAGAAATGTTAGTGTAGGGGACAAATGCCTAAAGCGTGGAGTGCAAAAGGGATTTTGACAATATAACAAATATTCGTAGTGAAAAAACAATAACCTTAGATCTGTACGGGTCTTGAGGCACATGACTGTTAAACACCTGTAAAATATTAAAATATTGAAAATGCAAATAATATATTGCATTCAAACTTCATCTGAAGTAATCAGTTAACTGCTAATTTAGCACATGAAAATGTGTATTACGCATAAAAGTGCATGCAGGTGATACGTACAGGACTAGCAGGAGGACGCGGCCAACCACCAGGACTGTTCATTTCGTTATATTCCTCGTGAATCGAATTAATGCTAGCAGCGCCAGGAGACGGAACGGTGCTTTGCGGTGTCGCAGGATGGCTGTGGTATCCTCCTATCATCTCCTTCCGCACTTTTGGTGTAAACGCTGGATCTTCACCAGAGGCTATTTATAATAAATTTGGTTAAAATAATTGTACTCGTGATCCCCGTATTGCGCGATGGCCGGAGTTTTACGAGATTAAACCGCACGAACACAAGCGAACAGATTTAGAGATAATACTAACCAGCTGATGCGTTAGATAACGTCGACTGCTGCGAACCTTCATCAAGAGACGTACCGTCTGGACCTGTTGTTATTACAGACGTCACAGTACCACTCGAAGTAGATATAACATTTATAGCTGACGTACCTACGCATAAAACGTGCACGTTCGTTATTTATTTGCGCAGACGATGATAAAGAGACAAAATTTACTTGATTTAAGAAGATTTTCAATCACCTGAAGCGGTCGTGGTTATACCGCTGTCATTGGAAGTTTCAGCCGTGAGATCTGCGGAATTGTGGCTGGTGGGAGTTGGTACTGACGCGGGGTGTGAATTCGGTGTTGTACTTGGCGGTGGCATCGGGCTGCCCTCGTGATTGAGAGGCGGCGTGGCCGCCGGCGTATGTAAGTGTGGTACCGCCGAGCTGGTAGGCGGTGGTGGTTGGTTACTTATGTGATTAGGAGACGGCGGTGGCGGACCCATAGAGCTCGCAGGCGGTCCCATGTTACCGATGACGGGTACTCCCGGAGCACCTGGCGGTACCATTGCGGTCGTACCACCAGCACCATAAACTTGCGGCGGTCCCGGACTCGGTGGCATTCCCGGTGGTACACTGTTAAAGCCCATTTTATGCTGAAAGACAATGGAGAACGATTACCTTCGATCAATATGACGATGAAATAAATCATTGTTACGCATTATTGATTAAATTAAATGTTTATTACCGTGTACGGTGGATATTGTACTAAATTATTGGGTCTGTTGGGAGGCTGATACTGATTGTTGGGTGGTGGTTGCGAGTTTGCAGGCGTTGGATATCCCTGTGGAAACTGCATGTGAGGACGCGGAGGTGGATACGTAGATTGTGCATGATAACCTCCAGGCTGACCCGCAGCTGTTCCACCAGGTGCATAGCCCATCCCACCACCCATTGGGCTGATTCCACCGAGAGCCGTCGAGCCGGGTCCCGGTTGCACTACACCAGGACCAGTGCTGTTCATTTTGTAGCTATGCATGTGTGGTGAAGGACCCAATGGCTGTTGGTATGCTCCTGAAACCGATGACCATTTTACTTTATTATTATTGACAAAACTTTAACGTGGTACGTTACATGGAAACAATGAATAAATTTCGCAGAGACGAAAACAGGATGACGAAAAGAGGAAAAGAAGTAAAATCGGTACCTTGAGTGGTCATTGGAGAGTGACTCATGCGTGGTGCTGGTCCACTACCATCCGACTGGCTACTCGACGGACGTGGAGGCATCTGAACGTTTTGTTGGCCTGTACATTGAAGAAGAAATTTTTATATAGGTACTCGAACGTACGACGCAAGAAGAAAAAAAAAGAGAAGGCCGGCAATAGATAAACTCTTATATAAAGCTCAAGTTACACTTCTTCAGTATCATTTTAAGAAAAAGACAACACAAACATAATTTATACATTGAGCGTGTGCTGTGCAGGACACCCCGGATATGTTTGAAAAGTTAGCGCGAGGTAAAACTTTCTTTCTAGGAAAGAACTAATTCATTCGAGAACGCGATTGAAAGAATACTTCCGTAACTCTGGGATATCCTGCACAAAGCGACCTGCAATTATAAATTCTATTATTAAATATAAATGCGAGTGAAAAGAGAGACAGACGTAAAAAAGACCGACCAACAGCAGGGGACATCGAGCGAGAACCTGTGGATCCTGTAGGTGACGGGGTAGGTCTCATCCCCTGAGAATTCGGTGTCCCTGGGCAAGCTGGTCCATTCGAACTGTCGTTACTATTCTGTCCTGATAATTCCTGCAATCACGGAATAACAATTTGCGATGAGAAAACGATTACTTAGAGCTTAAAGAAGAACAACGCGAAATACGAAATGCAAAAGAGATCAAACGTGACAGATTCTAGCGCAAGCTGGCATCTTATAATGATTCTAGCTTCGTAGTTTCATTAAAATTAGTTTATAACGAGTAAATTGTATAAACGCAACAAATTCAAATAGTTGATAAGGAGATGACATTTTACAAAAACAACTATCCCAAATTCATACATCGTGCGATTAGTCTACGAATATCGACTGTAGCTGTCTTTGAAGTAGGTCAGCACAATAGTGAACGTTCGCAGTAGATCCATCGCGGATATTAAGTCACTGCGATAGCGGGCACTTGTAACAAAAAAAAATATACAAGATACGGTCCTCGATGTAAACAGTTCACAATCGCAGTCCGCACGGGAGACACAGCGAGGAGCACCGGAGTCGGGTGAGATCCACGAGGATCGCTACAACCGATCGAGTTCTAGCCGTGCCGATCGAGGGACCGACTTGACGAGGAGTCAGGAGTCACACGCGCGTGAGTTCACCTCGGCCGCTACGTTTCAACGCGATTCGCGCCGCCTTCGTGGCTACGGACGACGACGCGGCGATGGGTCGCGACGTCGTCGGGCGTGCTCTCTGCTCTCTCGCGCGCGGTCGGAGAGACGGTGGTGGAGCCAGGCAGCGGACAATCGCGCGTTCCTCGTCTCAAAAAGCAATCGACGTCGACGCGACGGCGATGACGACGGCGACGTGGACGGCGAGGACGACGGCGGCCGTCCGAAGCGGCGCGAAGCGAAGCGAGAACCCAGCAACGGCGATGTCGCCCATGTTATTCGAGTCCGCGCGCGCGACGGTTAGTATATCGCGCACGAAACGTTCGCTCCTGTCGCACCACTGTCCCGCGTTGCGAAGCGGTACGAGGCGGAACGATCCCGTCCCGTCCGCGATCGTTGCCGTCGTTGTCGTCGCAACGCGATGGCACGCGGCGTCGTTCTCTCGGCCACAGTCCACGGAGCGCACAACAACCGTGTGTATACTCCGCACGGTCGAAATCGGTGTGTGTATGTGTGGTGTGTGTGTGCGCGCGCGCGCGCAGGCACGTGTATATGTGTGCGGCGCGCGTGCATGTGCCCGCGTGTACACGCACTTCGTACGGGTCGTCCGTCACAACGAGGCATCGGCACAGGCGAGCGGCGGCGGTCGGCGCGGCGCGGCGGTGGCCGCGCGCTGCGTGTGCGTGAATACGCGCGCGTGTGCGTGTATTCAGGATGGGGAAGGGGGACGGGGGGGAACGGGCGGAGGGAAGGAGAAAGAGAGTGGAACGGAGACGAGGATAGGCGTAGAGTCGGAGAGAGAGACGGGGTGGGTAGGTAGGGATGGATCGGAGGGAGACGGTGATATACAGCGAGAGAGAGAGATGAGGTGGGGCGAGGGGAGCGGAGAGTGAGGCCGAGAGCCGAGAGGAACGAAAGAAAATTCAGGCACATCATTACACCTACCAGGCCGCGTATAGCTGGTCCGTGTGGATGGCGATTAAACACTTCCTCGGGCGTACGAGCGAATGTACGGTACATAGGCCGTCCGGCGGCACAAGGACTCTCGGCATGACGCGAGAGATCGAAGGAGAGGCGTTACCCGGCTCTCCACTTAAAGCACGACGAGTAGCGACCGGGGCGAGAGAGGGAGAGAGACAGAGATAGAGAGAGATAGAGAGAAAAAGAGAGAGAAATAATAAGAGAAACGGATTTTGCCACCGTTTTGCGGAGTCCGGACTCCGGAGTCGCGCTTTCACATGTTTGTCGAACCGCGCGGAGTAACGTACGCGCCAGGCGGAGCGGAGCGGAGCTTGCGTTCTCCTCTCGGAGAGGATTCCCTCGGGAGCGCGCCGCGCCGTGCGAGCGAGAGAGAATTTATCGGACGATCGCTGCCGTCGGCGTACCGGTTAACGCGGGCATTATATTCCTGGTTGTATTCGTTCCTGGTTGTGCCGCCCTCCCCCCTCCCCCTGCCGCGCGTCGGAGGACGCGCTCGCGCGCTCTTTCTCTCTCTCTCTCTCTGTTTTTTTCTTTCGCTTTTTTATTCCGCCAACGCCGTCGCTTTGCCGTCATGTGCGTGCCACCTCGTTCTCCTCGAGCGTCGCATGTTGTGTCAATAAGTCTACTAAAAGAGCTCCGTGTCACGGTAGCCGAGGGCCGATGGAAACTTCGGGGTAGCACGTAGAGAGCTACGTGGTACAGTATCGTCGCGTCCGCGTCGGCGTCGTCGTGATCGTCGGTCGTCCCCTTTATTCGTGCGCCCGCTCTCGCCCGCTCGCCCGCCCGCCTGCCGCCACCTCGCCCGCCCGCCCGCTCGGTCTGTTTTTGCCCGCGTGAGCGCGTGCGTGCGCGTGTCGCGTGTTGGTAACGTCAAGCAGGTTATAATCCGCGCTCGGGGCTCGGGCCTCGGGCGACCGCGTGAGCAACGTGACGTAGAGCAACGTGCGCGATAGATAAACGGTTCGGCGAGGAGCGCGTCTCTTATCGGGGTCGCTCCTCGCGGTCGTCGCCGAGACCTCAGGTTTACAGATTTCCGCGTCTAGCTGGCTCGCTCGCTCGCTGGCGCTAGCAGGCAGACAAGGCAAGGCAAGGCAGGCGCTGGTCGCTCGTTGGGTTGGAGCATGATGGTTGGAGTTGGAGTCGGAGTCGGAGGGCGTTCTTTCGTGGCGCGGTAAGCGCTCGGCGCCGCTCGGCCGTTCCCGCCGTGCCTCGGCCCTCGGGCCAGCCGTGCGCCAGCGACGCGTTCCCAAAAGCCCTGGCTCCGCTCTCGGGAACTCTATCCGAAGTCGATATATTCCCGTATATATAGTCAAGCCTCTGCTATCTATTTCTCGCTAATAATATTATTCCCGTTAACGTTCTGTACGTTCTCGCCGAGCGCCCAAGTCCCTTCGAAGGAAGATTCTTCGACTTTTCTCTTTCTCCCCCCCCCCGCCCCCGCCCCCACCCCCGTTTCCCTCCCGTGGTTTTCCATTACTCCGAACTTAGCTGAAAGAGATCGCGAACGTTTCGGAATTGCGAAGTTGTCAACTTTATCCTCGTCCTTATTCCATCGAACGTATAGCACACGGATCGTCTCGTGTGTTGGATATACGGTGTTCTCCACACACTCTCGGTAGCTGACACACACACAAAAACACGTGTATGTGTGCGCGCGCGCGCAAAATCGTGGCGCGGCAAGCGGTCGGTGAGGATCGTACGACTTCGGCACTTTTCGATCGGCGAATTCGTGTGCCCCAGTAAAGCCTGGGCACCGAGATTCGTGTCTATACGATCTCTCGC